GGCTGCCTGGCTCCTCTGATGGAGTGGAATGCCATCCACCAGTGGACAGCCCAGCTCTGAACCTGCTCCGAGGCTCAGGCTTCTCATTGGGCAGTCACCCAGGGACTTTGCTGTGGTTTTCCGGATATCTGGAGTCCCACTAAGTAAGTAACTAAACTCCACCAACTAACTTGAAGTCCCACTAATGTTGGGATTCCAGACAAGACTGCTCTATTCTCCCTAGAGCTTGGATACACATCTCTGTCAGGATCCAGGACTTCAGCATACTAGTGAATGCCAAACAGTGCTGTTTGTTGTCGAGCACACTTTTCCACCTATTAACCCCTTCTCTCCAAGAGGGGGCAGAACAAACAGTTTAATGGACTCACAGAGAGGAGAAACAAGATGGAGGCATGAAGGGGTGAAGCCAGACACCCAGTTTTCTGTCCACCGTTGACTCTCCACGCACTCATGTTCCTTCTTTGTCATGACGCTCACCTCCTCCTCTCACTCTCACAGCAGGGTCTGGGAGAGAAGCCCAGCCACACAACAGCACACTTGACCTTCCTGCACTTCTTAGATTATTTGAGGAAATTGTATCATTGTTTCATCCAGCTACCTTGCCTCCAGCTCTCTCTAGGGACTTGTACATGGCTGATTATAAATTACCAAACAGGCTAGATCTGACTGATGTTGAGGCTATGAATCTAAGATATTCATAGATGGAAGGAGCTTCATGGACCAGAAGAACCAGTATGTGTTAGTTACTCCCTAGGAAATTTTGGAAACAATAGCATTGCCTCCAAGTATTATAGCACAGGAGACTGAACTCAAAATCCTTATCCATGCTTTATGCCTTAGAATAAGGGCAAGCATCTACATTGACTCTAGATGATGACTTGGGCTTCCCCAGAGATAGAGAAAAATATGTATTATGAGTCTCTCTTGAATTCAAGGAAGATGGAAGAATATACAGAAGTCTGGCAATTTCCTAAATATGCTTTGTTTTAGCTAGACCAAGCTTGTCTTCCAATTGTGTAATGATAGGTTATTTTTATTGTAGAGATAGGTCCAAAGTGTGCAATTTTGTTCCTTCAGATACTGGTAAATGATATTCAACTTTTCCTCAATTAACAGTACTAAATACAAAATCTATCTTAATCTGGATTCAGAACTGAAAGTTTCCAGTGAGAGGCATTCACTAATTTTTCTGTATAGGAAAGCTAATATGCTGTTGTCTTTATTGATGCTCAGGAATGGTGACACATAGACAAGCTGTACAAAACTGTTTGCGCCAAATGCTTTCATTACATGGAGCATCTCCACAGCAAAACCAGGTGTTTGAAAACGTGCTCTTCCCTGATCCTAAAAACTCAGAATATGAAGCACTTACAGGGGCTGTCATTCCCATTACCTCAGGATTGAGGAGTAACAAGAAAAGGCCAAGCGGGGGACTGAAACTGAACCCCTATGATGTAAAAGCATGGCCCGGACCCTTTCCACAGCCCCAGGTGTCCTTGTCTGTCTCCCTTAGTACAAGGTTTCCTTGCCTGTTTTTTGTTTGTTTATTAAAAGGAATTCACTAATTGAGAGAAGGACCTCCAGGTTCTAATCATAAGGCGTCTCCTATCTGTAGATAGACCTTGATGGTCAGTATCTTCCTTCTGCAGAATCTTGGAGGAAATGTTAAACTAGCCGCCCCCAATCCCCTGCTCCTGTTCCAGCCAGGTGAGCGATAGCCCACCTGATCATTAAAAACTCGCTAAATCATAGTGTCACTGACCAATCAGGAGCATTGCCTGTATGCACCCCTCAGTTCCCAATTTTCTAAGCACCTTCACCTGATTACTTGGGGACCCTAGGAATTAAGCAACAGTTGCCCGGCTCTCTGCTCTGCATGTTGTAAAAACAAAAACAAAACAACCACCACAAAACCACCTTTCTTCTACCACCCCAAAGTTAGTGATTGCCTTTCTGAATGTTGGGTGAGTCAGCCCAGTTTGGGGATTTTACAACAATGCATCCAACTAGTTTATAGTGTTGTTCAGCAACAATGTCATAGTTTAATACAACAGGGAGTTTAAGTGTACTCCCCTTCAATGCATATTAAAAATGTCAAGAAAGGATTTAATGAAAACTAGAGTACACTCCCAAAAGTCCTCACAATTTTTGTGAATCACAACTGTTCTTACCTGGGGGTTGACTGGCCATTGGTCCTATGACCCGTCTCTTGTCAGCACTATTTGGAAAAATGCAGCTATACATGGCCTGGTTGGTTACCCAGATTAGTTCCCAAACATTGCCTAATGGGTAAATCTTGTTTTACCCATTGCTTTTGAAGCCATCTGCTAAGTGGCTTAAAAAAGGTAGAACAGGACCCGGCGGCATGGCCTAGTGGCTAAAGTCCTCACCTTGAACGCACCAGGATCCCATATGGGCACCAGTTCTCTAATCCTGGCAACTCCACTCCCCATCCAGCTCCCTGCTTGTGGTCTGGGAAAGCAGTCGAGGACAGCTCAATGCTTTGGGACCCTGCACTCGCGTGGGAGACCTGGAGGAAGTTCCTGGCTCCTGGCTTCAGATCAGTGCAGCACCGGTCGTTGCGCTCACTTGGGGAGTGAATCATCGGACGGAAGATCTTCCTCTGTCTCTCCTCCTCTTTGTTATATCTGACTTTGTAATAAAAAAAAAAATAAATCTTAAAAAAAAAAAAAAGAACAGCCTGCCCCCATAGAGAACTGTGGGTGAGTGAATGACAAGTTTGTACACAATGCCTCAACGACAGGCCCTGGGATAGGTGGGATTGTTGGTCCCAGTTCCCTGCCCCTGTCTGAGCCACACATTGCCCTGATCTCTTTGTGGGTGGACCATGCTTGCTGCCCCCCTGGCTTTGGCCTTGCCGATACAGCCTGCTTTGGCCCACGGAATGAAGAAGCAATGACAGGGCGCTGGTTCTGACTTTAGGCTTGAAGAGGCCTTGTGAGTTTCTGTTCACTTGTCCACTTCCATTTCCACTGTGGGTAGAAGGTGCCTCTTTTGCCTGGAACCCAGAGTGGACACCCTAGGACCAGCCCCCGCCCTGCCCTTGCCAACGTGCAGATCTAGGAAAAGCAGAGAAAATCTTAGTTGCAGAGTCCTCTGGTATAATGATACCATCCACCTGCAGACCTTAAATGGGAATCCTGATTATAATCCACTGTTTCAGTATGGTAGCTTACATAGCATTTTTGTGGCCATGGTATAGTAACCCTTGACATGTTTTCCTATCCTTTATGGTCCAAATCTCCATTTCTTCTCACACTGTAAGTCCAAACACCCACAGGTTAGCACCATACCTTCTTTCCCATTTTACTCTCTAGTATTTAAGGCTTTCACTTGAGCTGCATTTTCAGTTGGCATATGAAATTGGGTCATGCGCGCTTAGTAATCAGGATCTGACACTAATTGCAGGACATCCAATTGGTGTTCACAGAGGCAGACAGACTCACTCCTGCCCTGGTGCTGCAGGAACACGATGCAGACCTATGACACCCGCCCTCGGTGCATAGCAGCCTGAGGAGCCCAAACCACCAAAGGCCTTCCCTGCGTCAACTCCAGGAAGTAAGTGAGCACAAGTGCAGGGCAAGACCTGGGGATTCGACCAAGGAGCCCTTCATGCACTCCTTCCTGAGCAGCTGTGTGAGGCTGGTTCTGGCTTCTGGTTCCTGTCCTTGCTTGTGTCTGCAAGACACTGGGGTTGTCATTTCACCTCTGTCAGCTGATGGTTGTGCCGATGTGTGTGGTGCTTGGAAGCTGAGCCCATCCATGTCTCCTTGGGTGCAGCAGTGCAGCCCCGCAGCGCAGAGCCCAAAGCCAAGTCAGAGCCTCCCGCAGGTCTTTCAGGAGCCTGAAAAACATGAGACCTGGCCTTTTCTGTGCAAGCACATACTCAGTTTTTCAGAGCCTTATTTTCTTCTTGTATAAACAGGTGATAAACATCGTACCTTTCAAACTGCAAAGATGAAATGAAATTACCTATCAGATTCTATCAAAGCTCTCTAAAAATGCTAAAATACTAGCAATACCAGCAATAAACACTAGCATTGTTTGACATACACAAAAAACTATGGAAACAGATACAGTATCAACTGGTATGTGGTAGAGTGGGCAGTTGGTTTAAGTAATGTCATTCACATGCAAGGAAATCTTTTAAATCAATTCAATCTTTTGAGTGTTAAGAAACTAAAAATTAATGCTGTGTTTTGCCTCTTGTATGATACCCTGCTTTTTTGGTGGGAGGGGGAGGACACACGGACACGGACACACACACACACACGGAGTTCCCATGGTGGGCAGCATTGGGAGCAGAATGCCTGCACACGGTAAAGGGCATGCCCGGGTTTGAGAGAGCCTACAACAATTCCAACATTCCTGCTAATGTACACCCTGGGAGACAGCCAGTAATGAGTCCCCATTCTGATGTGGTAGAACAACACAGAATTGCCTGCTCCTAGCTTCCCACTGGTCCAGCTCCCTGCACTGTGGCTTGACTGGGTTTTGGGGCCTGCATCCTGTCCCAGAGTGCCTGGAGTAGTTCTGACTGCACTTACTCATCTTGCTCCCTGCCAACGTGCTGGGAAAGGCAGCAGATGAAGGCTCAGATTATAAACACTGCCCTAGACTTAGAATATAAACCTATCATCTTCCTTTAGTATTTTGCTATGCTTCGTTGTAAAAAATACAGATAGCACAGCTCTGGTAGTGCTTCAACAACCTGGTTATAAATTATTTCCAAAAGTAATTTATTTGGATTTTTCAAAAGTAATTTATATTGACAGAAGACTCTTCCCCTGCCAAGCCTGTACAATTCTGAAATGTCAGGGAAAGCAAAAAGAAGACACAAGCTAACATTGCCTCAATGCAGGCAGAGCAAACACATCACACCCACACTTGCACTTTCCCAATCTCACAAAGAAGATGGGCAACCACACTGCTCAATGAAGATCCAGGCTATATTCTGGCTAATCAGACACTTCCAAACATTTTTCTTCAAAAAGAATATTTTTAATAGACTAAATACTGGTTATCACTGAGTTTTTGTATAAGGTACAACAGCAGCATGGTTCAAATGTTACTTGCAGTTCTTGGAAAAAATAAAAAATCTTAAAATAATGAAATACAGAAAAGAGTAGGGACCACCTTTCATTATTTTGAGTACCACCATTCTCTTGAAAAAACAGTCCATTCTTCCAAAATCCCAGAGTCACAAACCACTTCCATGGGGGAAAAAAATCCACCGTCACATCATAACTTCTAAACAATAGTGTGTGTAAGCATACATATATGCATGTATGTGTGCAGCTGCGTGTGTATGAAAGCTTAAGCAGAAAACAGGAGGGCAAAGCACTTTCTACTTCCTTCAAAATAACTTCTGAAATCTGAAGCAAGTATGTGCTGCTCGTTCTGGTTGTCTGATCCTGATTCCATGCCAAGAGAGAAGAAACAAAAAGAGGAAGCGAATAGTAAAGCAGGTGGGGGAGAATTTAGACACCTAAATGACTCTAAAAGCAGGTGTGAGAAAAATAAAAACAGCTCAAAAGTGGGATGAAAATTCCCTTAGCTAGTTTTGTCATAGTATACACCTTCCATGCTTATCCTTGTGTTCTTGGTCTCAAAATCAGTACCAGAATGCTTTTCACCTCTGGCACAGGACATAAGTTCCTATACAAAAAGAAAATGATTACACTTCAGCAAATGATGTTCTGAGCTTAACTCTCTCCAGATTTTCTAATACAGAACTCAGGCAACAATTTCTATGAAACTCTAGATTTGATACTGTTATACAGCTGGCTTATGATTTGCTCCTTAAAAAAATAAAAGCATCTAAAATTAAACATTATAAAACTGCTGGATAATAAAATGGAACATCTGTTAAAATCCAAGTGCTACCCTTTGGGAGCTTTTCAGATATTCATTTATTCCCAACCTTTCCTATTCTTATTTTTATATGTATTTTTAGACAGCACACATATGCATAGATTTAGGTAGGAAATTTTGCTAAATACCTCTCTGGCACTCAAGACTTCATCAAAGACTCTAACTTGAAATTATTTATAATGTTCAAATGAGAAGATTAACAGTAAATTATAGAAAACTGCTGAGTCTATTGGTTAATAACTTTTTTCCTTACAGCTTTTGTAATTACCTTATTTTCACAGCTTGACTAATACAGGTAACCAGTAGATAAGTTTGTCCTTCATCAAATAACCCCAAATAATAAACGTAGGCCTGTCATTCATAAGAAACTATAATTTGTTATATTCTGACATTGGCACTTTATAAAATGTTAACAACTAAGGTTCTTCTAAAAATTTCAATACATTACAATAAGGGATATACACAATTTAAGATGTTTAAATCTGTTACTGTGAAACTCCAATAATTTCCATTCTATATGCAGAATCAGATCTCCAAAATTGTGGCATTTCCCGAAGACATCAACCTACATTATGACAAACTCGGGGGGGGGGGGGGGGGGGAATTGTCTCCTTCACAAGAATGCTCTTTTCTCAAGTTAAAATTTCCAACATCCTAAATCCAGTCACTCTCAGGAAATGTCTTTATGATTTATACTACTGAAAATAATCTGAAGCAGAGAACTGAAAAGGATGGAAATTAATTCAATGCAAGGGAACTGCATGTTCCTGGATTCCACTTGAACACTTAGAAAAGTCAAAGCATACTGTCTGGAACAAATGGAGGCTCAAAGTTAGGATACAATTCTGACTGTATTAAGGCTTTCACTATCATGATCTCCAGAGTCTCTCCACATTAGCAGATTCACACTGATTCCCATGGTGAACTTATAGGTCATTAAAGGCTTTGTTTTGGCATTTAAGTGGGGAACCACTCTACCTTCTCCAAATGTTAAAGGTGATCCCACAGAGTTCAAAGACAAGAGGCAATTATGGTCAGGAACAACTTTAAAGTTTGTAATACCAAGACAACAATGACCAACACTCTGAAGCAAGGTGGATAAATTCAAATTCTTGGTTAGATATTAAGCATTCTTGCCAAGAATAAGTGTACACACATTGTATGGAGGGATATTTGATTCCTACATATGGGTCTCAATATGCCCAATATATTCATTTATACGAGACACTGCAAGTTTAAGGTAATTTACATTCCTTGGCAATCAAGTTACTCTGTTATAGGCATTGTCTTTTATTGTTTCATCTGGCACTTGCTAACACCATTCTTGAAGAACCTAGAAATGAAGGTTAGTCTCTGTTTACCAGGAACAGAACCAATTAAAACAAACTTTGGAAAAATGACCAAGAAATGCTGGTTCTTCACCATTTCCCATATCTAATGGTTTCTTCAAGATAAAACATAACTCTTTGTTCCATGATAGTTTTCCAACAAAGGAGATTAAAGAAAAAAAATGAAAAAGAAAAGAAAGTTCCCCACCCTATCCCCCCACTAAATTGTCATTCATACTGGTAAAAGAGCCAGTCTTATTAGCAGCTAAATATTGCACTGCCTTTCATTTTGTGCACAGTCAGGGTCCAACAGTGGCACACTCATGGTGTAACGGATGATGACACTGCCAGCTCAGAGGGAAGTCTCAGCACATGGAGGGTCAGAAACATGTCAGCACTAGTCACACATCCGGTTGCAACAGCCTGATTTCCCAGAAGTTAAAACTCATCACTTTCGGCTGCATGTAGTTGTGTGTCGTCGGCATCTGTCATGCTGCTCTCCTGGGATTCATCCGTTCCCACTTTAAAAACAAAAGAAACATTGTGAAGTGTCTGACAGATATATCTCTGCTAATTTCAGAAAACAAATATGGAAAAACGGTATCAGATTTGGAGATTAGAGTCTAAATAAAGGCCCTTAAAATACTGGTATCTGATTTTATAGCAGGTCGCCTCTTCCTAATGACTTCCTTGTTCATGCCTAGGAATTAGAAATACCTCTCTGAGGAATCCTCTATTTCCCCTGAAAAAGACATTTCTTCCTCCCACTCAAATCACTGACTCTAAGTACAGTCTATGGGCCAGTGCAGTGACGTAGTAAGATAAACCTCTGTCTGTGATGCCAGCATTCCACAGAGGCGCTGGGTCATGCCCTGGCTGCTCTGCTTCTGATCCAGCTTCCAGCTTATGGCCTGGGAAAGCAACAGAGGATGGCCCAAGAAAGTGCCTGGCTTTGGACCGTCAACTCCAGCCATTGCGACCATTTGGGGAGTGAATCCATGAATGAAGACTTCTGTCTCTCCTCTCTCCACTAATGAAAACTAGACCAAAAGCCAAGACTTCTCACTTGATTCCATAGGTGCTTATTATTACCTTACCTGGTTCACCTAAAATTGCACTTGGTATAAACAAAATACCACGGATGAAAGAAGCAGTCCACCAATCCTGTGCAAAAGGCAGCTTTTGAACATAGAATTATGCACAATACTCACTGATGTGCTCTTCTTGAGTTATGGGCTCCTCATCATCTGGAAGATAGCGCTTATCAATTGCCTCTTTAATCTGGTTATTGGCTCCTTTAGGATCTAAATCCATAGCCCAAGAGAAATTCATCAGGGCGAGGTGTGTCTGACCTAATTTCTTGTAAACCTAAGAAGAAACAGCAATACTACATTTTTCATTAAGTTGTGAGCTTCCGCTGTAAGATTCACAACATTTAAAACTCCAATCAGACTCCTGATTCATGTGCTCAACCTCACCCAGATGTGGAGGACACTGTCATCCTACAGATGAGCTCACACTGACTTCTGAGTTCCTTTTGAATGTTTTCAGATATATTTTCAGAATTCTGTTTCTATCTTTCAGGTAGTGATTTTCCAATAAATCTCACTAGGTTAGAACAATTATAATGGCAAGAAATGGATTCTCAGTTGTTTTCTTAACACTGATGCAAAACAGCAGGGCAGGCATTTGGTGTCTGGTGCTTGGTTCCGTGAGCGAGGGCCTGGCTTTGAGTCCCGGCTAATGCAGCCTCTGGAGGGCAGCAGGTGGAAGCTCGAGTTGTTGGGTCCCTGCCACCCACAACAGGAATCTAGGTTGATTTTTAGATTCCTGCTTTCAGCCTGGCCTAACCGCTGGCTGCTGTGTAGGCATTCAGTGATGAACCAATGGATGGAATATTTTTCTCTTTTGTTTTTTCAAACAAACATGGACAAAAATTAAAAGAAAAAAAAAAAGAAAAAAGTTTATTCATGCTAACTTTAAATGTAGTTGTAACAATTCAATATCCATCCAAAATTTAACTAATTTTTTTTAACAGATTGGGTACCCAGGCAGTTAAACCAACTAATAAAGACAACGCCAAGCTATGAATGCTCTTCTTTTGGGGGAGTTCTAAGTGTTTCATGGAGAACTGGAAGCTACATGCCTTCTATTTGGGTTAATGACTTGCCTTTGGCTGTAAATCACTGATCTGCTTCGAATACCATTCTGGGTTAGAATTCTGGGTGTGTGTTCTTGCACCTACATTAGGATATTATCTTCAATGTCAGAACTCAATCCATCATCCCCGGAGCACTTTATTCAGAGGCCTCACTGATTAGATCATGTCTAAGTTTATATTTGATATGAAAGTCAAAGTTAGGACCAAGGCCCCAATCTTTACCTTTCCTATTAAGAAGTAAACAAGGGATTCTTTGGGAACAATTTGTTTCAATTCTTCAAGTTCTTGTAAAGCAGACTGAAAAAGCAAAAAAAAAAAAAAAAAAAAAAAAAGCAAAATTTTACATTTGACTAAGCAACTATGTTTATTAGATTTTCCAAGTCATTTTAACAAAACCTGAGTATATCCTAGTCAATTTAACTTCCTTATTGCATTAATCCCTGTGAAAAGTAAATGAAAAACACTTAAGTTACAACAGGATATAAGAAATGGCGGCACTCACCATGGTATTCTGAAAACCCCTTCCTGCCCACCTCATTCAGTGAAATACAAAAGGGCACTACTCTTGTTTTTGTCACCATTCTATTTAAAAAGAGCCACCGCACACGTTGTGTGGATGTGTTTTGAAAACTACCCTCCAGAACAAAGTCACTCTGTCCCAGTCTCTTCCGTGAGCCAAGTATCTGTCCAAATTTAACTAATAAACTGAAGCTTAATCTTCTCAAGTGAGATAAAATTATCTAGTAATGTGACCACACTGCTGAAGGGTTGGGAAAATGAGGAAAAATACATGAAAACAAGTTAGTTTTGTGTGGCAAGCATAATGGTACAGTAGATTAAACCACTGTCTGTGACATGAGCATCCAACATCAGAGCACCAATCTGAGCTCTGGTTACTCCATTTCCAATCCAGCTGTCTGCTAATGTGCCTGGGAAAGCATAGGAAATGGCCCAAGTGCTCGGATCCCTGCCACCCATGGGAGAGGCCCAGGTGGAGTTCTTGGTCCTGGCTTTTGTCTGGCCCAGCTCTGACCACTGTGACTACTTGGGAAGTAAACCAGCAGATGGAAGATCTCTTTCTTGTTAAACAAACTGAAATAAATCTCTGAACAAAACAAAAAAATCACACACACACTCACACACACTAAAACCAAATCAAACGAAACCAAACACACACACACACAAATACACACACCTCACCAAGTCATGTTTATAAGGACAACCAATGAAAAATTAGAAGTATGGAGTTCCCTAACTGCAAGCTAACCACAGTCCATCCTCTATGGAATAACAGATTTAGTATCTCTCTCGATCTCTCTCATGCATACACAGTTTATATATTCATACACACATGTATTTTATAAATACACTTCTGTAAGCATACACATTTCCTTACCTCCTGGTGTGTATGTGTCTATCTATATATCTAATCTCTGCTTTACTGGTTTACTTCTGGCAAGATGAAAAAAAGCGGAAGCTGATGTAGAGGGTAAGGGGGAAAGACTTCTATTTTTAATTTGGTAGATTTCTTTTAGAATTCTTTTTAACATCATTAATATTGTATTTTACATCCCTGTAATGTCCACAAGAAAAAAAAGTGGCATAGCCAGCACTAGAATTGGCACCCACACGGGATGCCAGTGCTGCAGGCAGAGGATTAGTTGCAATGCTGTGGCACTGGGCTCCTGAAAGTCCCTTTTGAAGACAGTTGGGTTCTTATAATCTGCTTTTACAGTCAATATATTACAATAATTTTGCAAAAATTCATGTCTATTCATGTTAGGATGACGGAGAAAGGGGGAAACATCTAGATGTTGTTCTGAGAGTAGATTTGACTTCCTAATTCTTTGAAAATGTTCTGGGGACTCTTATTTTTTTAAAACATTGATTATTTTTATTACAAAGTCAGATATACAGAGAGGAGGAGAAACAGAGAGGAAGATCTTCCGTCTGATGATTCACTCTCCAAGTGAGCACAATGGCCAGTGCTGTGCCAATCCAGAGCTAAGAGCCAGGAGCTCTTCCAGGTATTCCACACGGGTGCAGGGTCCCAAGGCTTTGGGCCGTCCTCGACTGCTTTCCCAGGCCACAAGCAGGGAGCTGGATGGGAAGTGGAGCTGCTGAGATTAGGTTAGAACTGGTACCCATATGGAATCCCAGTGCGTTCAAGGCAAGGACTTTAGCTGCTAGGCCACCGTGCTGGGCCCGGTTCTGGGGACTCTTAGGAGGTTCCAGACTATGCTGTAAGAACCATCACTCCACAGAAAGCCTGGGTGACAACCCCTGTGCTCCACTGCTACAACCCACATATTCACTTTCCTCATGACGGCATGTTATGACTGTTAACCAAAGCTCACGCTCTCCCCTCTGAAGAACTACCTCCTCTGACTCACTGAGCCACAGCACGATTTACCACACACATCAAATAGGGTAAAAGGTGCACCTGGTGCAGGCACAGAGAAGCTGGGGTGGCTCTTCACTGGACATTCTTTGATTTCAGAGTCAGAACATTTAAGAAACAACCAGTAACTTCTTTATACATCCCCCTGCATCAAAGTATGTCTTAATTTAAGTTAAATTCCAAATTCATACCCAAAAATGTCTGTAACTATATATTATCCTGAACAACTGATCAGTTTAAAAGTTAGGTTTCTCAGATATGACTAATTTACATGGCATTCTTGGTGGATACACTGGCATTAAAATGGCTTTAAAAAATAAATAAAAGAAAATCCTCTAAGTGAACAATCTCACTTTATTATTTGAAAAAGTGTAATAGACAAAAGCATGACAACAAACATTGAATTAATTTCAGTAATTAAGTAAGTAATTAATTCCAGTAATCCCAACGACTAAGGAGGTAAAAATGGAAACCTCTCATTTTTAAATAACAAAAAACTAAAAAATCTACTACTCCATTAACGAACTAATGTGTGACAGAAGTACTTTATAAAGTTATTCTTAAAACTTAAATTCTAGATTTTTTTCAGTAAGCTTTTCTTCCTCATTCTTTTCAGAAGTGAAAATCTTAATTTACTAAATAAAACCAAAGCTTGAAATTTAATGGAAAATTACTGTTTGACCTATGACAGGATAAATTCTAGCAAAAATTCAGGGGCTAGCAATGAGCACATGGGTTAGTTGCTGCACGAAGTGCTAGCATCCCATACGGGGGATGCTTCAGACCTTGGCTGCACCATTTACAATCCAGCTCCCTACTAGTGTATCTTGGAAAGCAACAAAGCTTCACCCAAATGCCTGGGCCCCAGCGCTCATGTGGAGACTCAGACGCAGCTCCTGGCTCTTGACTGACTTGGCTCAGCCCCAGGTGTTGCTGCCATTTGAGAAGTGAACAGCAGATGGATAATCTGTTTCTCTTCGCACAGTGTGACTCTGTCTTTCAAATATAAATCTTAAAAAATAATTCAATGTCTTTTATCTTTCCTATCTCTTAGCTTTCCTTATCTTCCTACTTCAAAACCTGTTACACACTGCAGATCCATAATATCACACAGAGGAATAAACACATCAGATTAGTTCTAGTTTCCATATTAGAAGATGGAATAACTAGGCCCAGCATGATGGCTCAAGGGGTAAATCCTCAACTTGCCAAGTACTGAAATCCTATATGGCACTGATTCAAGTCCTGGCTGCTCCATTTCTTATCTAGCTCCCTGCTTGTAGCCTGGGAAAGCAGTATAGGATGGCACAAAGCCTTAGAACCCTGCACTTGCGTAGGACACCTGAAGCAGCTCCTGGTTCCTTGCTTTGGATTGGCTCAGCTCTAGCCACTGAGGCCACTTGGGGAGTGAACCAGTGGACAGAAGATCTTTCTCTCTGTAAATCTGCTTTTCCAATAAAAATAAATAAATCTTAAAAAGAAAAAAGCTGTGATAACTCACTGTATTTCTCCTTTATATCCTCCACATGAATTATTTCTGCATTATTTGGTTAATGTCTATACTTCTTCTGGTGGCATACTAGATGGTAAACTCCTCAAAGACAGGAAATGTGACCACTTTACTCAGCACTATATGCTCCTGATGCTTGACATATAGCAGGTACCCAGTAAAATGACTTACTGAATAATGTGCACACATTCACTTGTCACCTGGCAAATATTTTGATCCTAGAAGGATAATGTAGGCTATTGTCAGGTCACTATCTAAAGGACAAACTGCCATTCTATGTACAGAACCTTTACAAGAGATAACAACATATTCTTAAATATCCACATACTCATCTATTACATGAGTGCTGCATGAAGTAAGAAAAACAAAGAATAAAATTAGTGGTTTTCAAAAATGGAAAAAATGAAATACCTTGGATCAATATTATAGTATAAATACTTTTACTTTAATGCAATGCGGAGAACCATTAAGAAATGTGTTTTACCTTATATTTTTCATTTGCAAATAAAACTGAGGCTCTGTGAAATTTGCATAGAGGATTCTTGGGATCAATAACAATGGCTTTGTTTAGGGTATCCAAAGCCTTCTCAGATTTTTTCAGTGCATGCTGAACCTATAAAAAATAAAAATCATGTTAGTGCTTCCTCTTGTTACCATCTATTGAGTACTGCAAATGTCTCAACATGCACATAAAGACAATAAAACTAGGGGCTGGCACCATGGCGTAGCAAGCTAATCCTCGCCAGCTAGACCAGCATCCCATATTGGCACCAGTGTGTGCTGCGGCTGCCCCACTTTTGACCCAGCTCCCTGCTTATGACCTGAGAAAGCAGCAGAGGATGGTCCAAATTCTTGGAACCCTGCACCCACAAAGGTTACCCGGAAAGAAAGCTCCTTGCTTTGGTCAGCTTGGCACCTGATATTAAGGCAATCTAGAAAGTGAACAAGCAGATAGAAGTCCTTGCTCTCCTTCTATCTCTGTAAAACATGACTTCAGATAAAAATAAATCTTTTTTAAAAAGTAACAAAATAGTAGAGGTGAGGTTATACGGCATAAATGTATTTTCACTGCGTTGAGTGGATCAGCAATTGACAGGATTAACAGATTACCTCTCAAACTCCTTTCTATTCTAGTCCAAATGCTTCACTTTGAAAATACATAGGTCCTGGCCCAGGACAATAGCATAGTGGTTAAAGTCCTCGCTTTGCACGCGCCAGGATCCTATATGGACGCCAGTTCTAATCCCAGCAGCTCCACGTCCCATCCAGCTCCCTGCTTGTGGCCTGGGAGAGCACTCGAGGACGGCCCAAAGCCTTGGGACCCTGCACCTGCGTGGGAGATCCGGAAGAGCTCCTGGCTCCTGGCTTTGGATTGGCTCAGCTCCAGCCATTGCGGCTGCTTGGAGAGTGAACCATCGGATGGAAGATCTTCCTCTCTGTTTCTCCTCCTCTCTGTATGTCTGCCTTTCCAATAAAAATAAATAAATGTTAAAAATATATATATACCTAAGGTCCAAGGATGTTCAGAAACTTCCCTTGGTATCAGAACCTAGATGCAACTTTGGGATGGTGCTGTGGTATAGTAGGTAAATACACTGCCTGCTGTGCCAGCATCTCATGGGAGTAGGTACAAGTCCTGGCTACTCTACTTCTGATCCAGGTCCCTGCGTATGACCAGGGAAAGCAGTGGAGGATGGTCCTAGTCCTTGGGCCCCTGCACTTAGTGGAAGACCCAGAAGCTCCTGGTTCTTGGCTTCAGATAAGCCCAACTCTGCTGCTGGTCATTTAGGCAGTGAAGCAGCAGATGGAAAATCTCTTTCTGTCACCTCTCCCTGCCCCTGGACCGTCTGTAAATCTGCTTTTCAAATAAACAAATCAATCTCAAAAACCAAACAACTACAACTAGCATTACGTATAATGGCTCCGGATCTACCACTGATACATATCAATAGCAAAATTGTAGTTACTTTCTTTTGTAAAGATTTATTTATTTTTATTGGAAAGATGGTTATACAGAGAAGGAGACAGAGAAGAAGATCTTCCGTCCGATGATTCACTCCCCAGGTGGCCGCAACGGCTAGAGCTGAGCCAATCCAAAGCTAGGAGCCAGGAGCCTCTTCCAGGTCTCCCATGTGGGTGCAGGATCTCAAGGCTTTGGGTCGTCCTCAACTGCTTTCCCAGGCCACAGGCAGGGAACTGTATGAGAAGCGGAACTGCCAGTATTAGAACCAGCGCCCATATAGGATCCTGGCACGTTCAAGGTGAGGACTCTAGCATCTAGGCCACCACACTGGGCCCAAATTTTAGTTACTTTCAAGTTGAAAAGGCAAGCAAGGTGGGGAAGATTTGGGGAGGAGGGAAGAGGTAAATTTCAGATCCTATGGAATTATATCATAAAATAATAAAATAAATATATTTTTAAGATTAAATAAAGTTCACATTAAAAAAAAAAAGGCAAGCAAAACTGTTCCCATTCACAAAAATCCCTGCAAATTTAATAGGTCTTCTAAGCACCAGGGTTTTCAAAACTGTACCAAGAACCTGCATTTACCAACTGTCTCATTTAGAACAGAACACTTTTACCAAAATTAAAAACTTGCTTGAAAACTTATTTTACATTAAATTATTGAAAATTATTTATAGTAGGGGACAAATAATTTAGGATATTTTAAGAAAAGGAAACCAAATACTGTCGCAACAACAAAATGTACCAGTTTTCATTATGTAATTGTTAGTAATAAGCACATTTCAAATGGGAGATAAACAGCAATACAGTAACAGAGTTACTTACTACTCCAATGTGGCAAAGTAAAACTGAACTTTGAGGGTTGATATCAAGTGCTTTCTGGAAATGCATTTCTGCAAGGCTGAATTTTTCCTGCTTATAATAAATCATTCCTAAACCATACCTGAAAGTAGAAAACACAGTGTAATCTTAGGCATATGAACTGTTGGCTACTAATTTAGTTTAACTGATGAAAAATTCATGTCCAACATCTGGCATTGGAATGGAACAATGGAATGATTTTGGTGGTCTTGGTGGGAGCCAATAAGTATCACTCTTTATACAAAGCAGTAAAGCATTTTAATCATACTCAGAAGTATTAACACCAAAGTATGATAATGTCCAAAAATACTACAATTTTTATTGAATAGAACTTAGCTATGTTCTTTAGGTGACTTATTTTATTTAGTCTTAGGAGCAATCAGGAAGACAGTTACTGGTTTTATTCTCAAAAATTTTTATCTGTCTACCTACATACATTCGTAACTATTCATTCTGTATCTCTAAAGGGTGGAGAGAAGGAAGGGGAAAAAAAAAAAGGAGCATTCTCATCTGCTGGCTCACTCCCCAGACATCTGAGAAGGCTGGGCTGGCTGAATCCAAAGCCTGGAGCCAGAGACACAAGGCAGGACGGCACATGGCCGGCAGGAAGCCACTCACTTGTGCTATCATTGCTCCTCCAGGGTCTGGCTTAGCAAAATGCTGGCGTCAGGAACTACAGCTGGCTTCAGTGCCAGGTATCCCAACCACTATTTTAACTGCTAGCCTAAATGCCTGCTCTCTCATTTTTGCATAAGGAAAATGAGGTTAAACAATGTACTTAAAGGAGTTAAATTTAGAGGAGTTAAACAATGAATTTAAAGTCTGGAGGTATCACACCTCAAACCTCCCCGCCCTAATTAGAGGCCCACATAGATGTGCAACCCTTTTAACTATGTAATCAATTATTAAAAATAAAATAAAATTACAAAAGTTATGGAGGTGATCAGAAATTTCAAGGAATTTATTTGTGTGAAAGGTAGAGTTATATAGAGAAAGAGAATTCTCCACCTGCTGGTTCACCTCTCAAACAGTTGTAGTGGCCAGAGCTGGGACGAGCTGAACCCAAGGAATTTCTCCTGGGTCTCCACTGTGAATACATACCCAAGTACCCAGCCATCCTCAGCTGCTTTCCCAATAGCAAAGAGCTGGACCGGCAGTGGTGCAGTATGCCTCCCTTTAACGTGAATTTGATAATAATTTGTTTCATGCTAGTATTTGTAGTTGTGTGTTTGCCATATTTTAGGAAGTGCAGCCACTTAGAAATGAGGTAAAAAAAACATACATGCACATACCAAAGTGTATTTTAGTAATTTAATGCTTTAAATTTACTGACAGAATAAAACTCAATTGCTAGCTTGAAAAAAAAAAAGTAACAAAAATATTAGAGTTATGCTTTTAAAATTATACCACTTGATACTTAAGCTATTTAGTCCATCAAAAAAGTGTAGTAAATGCCAGCAGTAAATATGGAGTTGGGAAAGAAGCAGAAACACATTGTTGCCTAACTTCTCCATTTGCTAAAATAAATGACTTCCAGCACCAGCATTAAGACTTTGTACTTTAGTAGCACTTACCAGGCATTGTAATGTCTAGCATTGACTCTGATTGCATTTCGAAAACAAGCTAATGCTTTGTCTAGTTCTTCAGTTAACACAAACTCATGCCCTAATAGAGTATAGGCATAAGCATAATTTGGATCCACCTGGATAGCTCTCTGGAAAAACTTGATTGCAATATCATGTTCCCGTTGCAGACTGAAACAGTTTCCTGCAGCACACCAAGCCTTAAAAATAGAAACAAAAGTAGACTATTAAAACTGTATTTTTATAACAAACTCAAATCTCACCAAAATGAAGCTTCAAAGACAAAACTGAAGAGCATTAGTAAACAGTTGATTGCCATTTTCCACCCGTCATTTACTCGCTAATTTATCTGCTTCCTAAAATTTATTTGTGAGACCCAAATCAATGCATTCAACGTTTTCAATATCATGGGTAGATTGAGTGTCAATTACCCAAAAGACACATTTTCCGCTAAGGTCAAACAAGGCGCCCCTCTGCTTTGTGTAAACTCCCACACCCACTCGCATGAGCCACCATTACTGTCCCCAAGGGCTGATCTTGAGCAACAAGCTGGAGCCAGCTATTGAACGCAGGCACTGCGTGGCAACATGCAGGCTTCTTAACCCCTTGTCTAAATGCCCTCTCTTCACACTTGAAAAAATAGTTCAGTATCACTAATACAGTGTTCACAGTGACTATAGAACTACCAAAAACAGCTAAAATTGATTTTACTATATTCTAGGTGTAAATGTTATGAACGTACTACTAATTACAATTCTTACAAATGAAGCATAAGAATTAACTGCCTTAATACAAAATTATTTAATTTATAGTCATTCTTCAATCTATATAACTACTGCTCAATCATATTCTCAATGATCACAGCAACTTTAATACAAATCTTGATTAATCCTGAATGAAGAATATATTCTGTGATTTTTCTATTTATGAATCTGTACCATATCCTAGGACTATTTCTTATCTACTCACTTGCCTTGACAGAGAGAAGTATAAATAATACTAAACAATGTTTGAGTTATTTAGCTTATCTCCATTTGATAAGGGTGAGTAAAAGGTAACTTCCTAAACAAAAGTGTGTTGATTTTCTTACCTCTGGTGAATTTTTATCCATGTCTGTTAAGTCTTTTGAAAGAACTGAAAGAGCAACATCTTTCTGAAGATGCCAGAGTGTTGTAGAATAAATCTCCATGCCTTCAACTCTATAATTCTCAATTCTTCTAACTTCGGCAAATATTCGTTCAGCCTGAAATACAACAATCAGTAAGGAGAAACAAGCTGATCCAATTTGCACATTAATGGGGAGAGTGCTGGAGAGTCTTCACACACTGTAAATGGTGCCTTATATAGAACTTTTTTTGTAAATTAGTAGCAACAAAAAAATAAACTGAGCAACTTCCTGTGGTAGGTCAAATACTGATAACACTCAATCATCCACATTAGCTCACTTTTAATAGTCAGGTCAGGAATTCTGAAAACTTAAGTTTCTACCCAAATGACAAAAATTCACAAGTTTCCAAGTTTAGTTTGCTGCTCTTAATGAAGAAATAAGGAAATAATACAAAATTGGCAACTGAATCTCAAAAAATAGTCATATAGTATCTAGGATTGGCCTGATGACTTGCAATGTTCCTGAAAAGTTCATAAAAGTTATAAAGGCAAGCTTCATTAGTTATGAAAAGACAAATTCAACAAATCCTAGGGCTAGCACATTGGCTTAGTACACTAACCCTGCTTGCAGGGCTCTCATCCCTCATGGGCACTGGTTTGAGGCCTGGCTGCTCCACATCCCATCCAGCTCCCTGCTTATGGCCGGGAAAGCAGCAGAGGATGGCCCAGGTCCTTGGAACCCTGCACCCAAATGGGAGACCCAGAAGAAGCTCCTGTAGCCTCCTAAAGCAGTTACAGCCATTTGCAGAATGAATCAACCAAAGGTAGATCTTTCTCTCTCTCTACCTGCCTCTCAGATAAAAATAATCTTAAACACACATACACACACACACACAAAACAAAAAAGGGGACAAATTCAACCACTAGTCAAATTCAGGGAAGTGTTGATTTTAAATGTTTTAGAAGTTATTTCAGGATTGGCTTTGTGGCATAGCAAGTGACACCACTGCCTGGGATGCCAGCACCCCAGTTAGGCACCAGTTCCTGTCCTGCTGCTTCACTTGCAATCCAGCCTCCTAGTCACCGCCTGGAAAGAGCAACACAATTTGGGTCCGGGCACCCACACAGGTGACCTGGGGAAGTGCCTGGCTCCCGGCTTCGGACTGGCTTCCAACTCTTGGGAATCATTCAGTAGATGCAAGATCTTTCTGTCTTCTTTTTTGTAACCAACTTTTAAACAAAAGAAAAAACGAAATCCTATTGCCATCTTTCAGAAATGAGTATTGGTTTCTTATAAATCTATCAAGTTATTCCAAAGAACCTAAATTACTTCTCCTGTAAAACAAAAGTGTTATATCTATAAAATCTGAGAATTACACAAACATTACATAATAAATAATGCATTTTCACTCTAGTCTTCTCAAAAATTGGCAAATTTAATTATATTTAAGATATTTTTCAAAGATATATAGTTTCTTCTATACTTACTTGCATATACTCTGAAAGTTCAAAATAGGCCCTTCCAATTTGGCACAGTACCCAACCAGTATTGTAGTGGTGAGAAGGTAGATGGCTCAAAATGTTTATAGCTTCTTTGCAGTTGTATGAACACAAAGCTAAATAACCTTTCCCCATCTCACGGAGAAGGCTCATCAAACCTTCTAGGAGAAAACAATATGGTAAGCAAAGGGGAAAAACAAAACAGCAGTTTGATCTTCTACAAAGGCTAATAATATGCTAATCTACTAAGCATTATAACATCTAGAAAACAATGAAAATACTACAGTAAATACAAAGGAATTTACTAAAAACACTTGCATAATAAAATAAAACTCAAGGAAGATAAGCATTTAAAAACAGACCTGCTGCTGCTTTTTGCAGATTAAAAGCCTGGATCTGAGGTGTGATTGTGGCTATTTTCCCTTCTGAAATGATGGAAGAATCCAATTTTGTAATCTCCAGGCTATCATTTATGTTAGGTTGAGTTATACCTCCTTTATTAGTTTTACTTTTTGTTTTTCTGTTTGGGATTTTAGGTGGAAACTTCATTTTTAATTTTTTGCTATTCTCCTGTAAAGAGGGGAAGGGGAAGGAAATTCCTCATTTGTTATACACATGAAATTTGGACCTTAATCATTAGATATAAAGTAAATGTACAATCTTGGATGACTGCATATTTTTCTCATAAATTTCATAAAGGCCTTTAGAATAATTAATTTTTAAAATTTTATTTATTTATTTGAAACACAGAACAACAGAGAGGGGAAGACACAAGATCTTCCACATGTTAACACTTGTTAACTCTCCAGATGGCTGTCAGCCAGACCTGGGCAGGTTGACTCCAGGAGCTAGGAATTTCATCCTGGTCTCCTGTGTAAGCGACAGGGACTCAGTTCTTCAGTCATCTTTCAATGCCTTTACAGACACACTAGCAGCAAGCTGGATGGGTAGCAGGGTAACTGGAACTCGAACTCGTACTTTGATATGGGGTGCCAGCTAGGCATTATGAGCAGGGTCTAAACTTGCTGTTCGATAATACCACCCCCAATTAGCACCAAATTTTAAACGCAACAATTCTGAACATAACTTGTAATACTGTAAAGTTTTGCTCCTTTAAAAATTCTTTCAGATTCTCACTATTTAAAAATCAGAAAATAATACAATGCAAAGGAGGGTGCTGTACGCACAGTTAAGCTGCCATTTGGGACACCACCTCCCATGCCAGACTGCTGTTGGAGTCCTGGCTAGTCCACAGTTCTGATCCCACCTCCAGCATCCTGCTACTGCTCCTGGGAGGGAGGGGATGACACTGAGTCCCTGCTGCCCACATGGGGGACCCAGATGGAGTATGGGGCTCCTGGAGTCACCTAGCCTAGGCCTGATGGTCATGGACATTTGGGGAATGAAACAACAAATGAAAGACTTCTGTCACTACCCCTTTCAAAACGACACGTAAGTCTTAAAATAAACCAACAACAACAACAACAAGAAAAGATAATATAATATTATTTAGCATCTCAGAGCATGGCAACTGATAAAGTCACAAAATCCCTGATCTCCATATGGCAATGTATTAAAGACTGCCCACACAACAGACCAATGACCACAAATGCCCTCCAATCTCTAACAAGTGTTTTATTCGGAAATTATTTCAGACTCACATGAAGTTGAAACAAAACCAGATATATCCATTTACTGTTTCCCCAATGATAATATCTGACAAACACAGATCATCACATTCACAACACAAGAATTGACAAAATATTTATGTTATGAACAAATCTACAAAACTGACTTGGATTTCATCAGTTTGATAAGGACTTTGTATGTATATAGTCCAATAAAATTTTATCACATAAATGGATTTGAGTAATCAGCTATCACAACCAAGACACAGGACTTTATACTATTAAGAAATTCTCTTTTGCATGCTTTAATAGTCACATCCTCTCCCAAGCTCTTTCTCCTCATAACCACTGATATACTTATTTATTGCTATAATTTTGTAACTTTATGCATGTATAAGGATCAAGAAAATCCACAAAGATTACTTACAACTCTAAAAGTAAAACTTATTTCATAAATTCCAAATTGGATATTTATTGACTGGTAAGTAGATATTATTAAAAAAACAGAAATTACAGCAGGAGAAATTCTAAATAAATGTGACATGCAGGAGTCTTTAAATCACCTTGGTTGTAGAGCTGTCACTAGCAAAAAGCCGAGAGCTTCTTCGAGGCAGTGCGTTTGGGGGAGATGTAATAGTGGGGCTCAGTACCTGAGGTGTTGTACTAGAACAAAGAAGAGAAAGATATGTTACTCAGTTGCTAACATGATCTGTTGCTTCAATGCAGATTTATTTTAAAGCACGCATCATCATCTAAGCACCATGAGGCTGAGGGCATGGCCTGTCCTTTCCTGGCCTCTCTTTGAAAACTCAAGACTTAACAACTATTCATATTGCTACAGAAGGGTAAAGATTACAACATATATCTTCATTATACTTAATATACTTCTTAATATACTCTAAGAATACTAATTTGAAGAAAAAATAATCCACTTAAAAGTGATACTACACCTATAAACTAATTAGCCTTCATTTGTGCCTATATAACAAGTTAAGGGAAAAGGAAAAGATATTCAATCACAGAGTCTAAATCTGGTGTTTGCCAACAAATAAATATCACCAGAATAAGTAAAATCTGACAAGTTATTTGAATTCAAATAGCTACATCAAAGTTTTATTACATCTACAGCAAAGCCAGTATCACTAACCACTGAGACGACACATTTTCACTTCATTTGGAAAGCTCTAAAATATAAGAATTCCATTCTTAGAAAGCAAGCAAACTTAAAATTTAAAGTGATCAGCGTGAGTAAATCTATGGACTACTAATGATCAGCAAATTAAGAAGAATTCTACTAGTTATCTGAGTCAAGGTCAAAGAAACTTGTGAAAACATGAGCTGCCGGGCATGTCCAGCACTAGCCTTTTCCATTTCAAAAGAGGCCAGGACCGGGCCCAGCATGGTAGCCTAGTGGCTAAAGTTCTCGCCTTGAGCACATCAGGAACCCATATGAGCCCCGCTTCCCATCCAGCTCCCAGGCCTGGGAAAGCAGTTAAGGATGGCCCAAAGCCTTGGGACCCTGCACCCACGTAGGAGACCTAGAAGAAGCTCTTGGCTCCTGGCTTTGGATCAGCTCAGCTTCAGCCACTGCGGCCGCTCGGGGAGTGAATCATCAGATGGAAAATCTTTGTCTCCTCTCCTCTTTGTATATTTGACTTTCCAATAAAAACAAATCTCTTTTAAAATATATTTTTATTTTGAATTTTGAATTATGTGGTACAATTTTGTATAGGCTGGGATTCCCCCCTAAACTCCCACCCCCCATCAGATTTTTCTCATTTTGTTACAATAGTGTAGTCTTTCATAAGGAATCATAATTCCATCAGTCTCTTATTTTAGTGTATCCCGACACTGTTGGTACAGACAATGTTAGACAGTCCAGCATCCTATTGTCTACACATGCCCAACAGTTTCATTGGGAATCATGGATCCCAATTCCAACTTCCTGGTAATATGAAAGGGGCAAGGCTGAACTGGTTGGGATTTCCTGATTTCTGCTTTCTGCCTGGCCCAGTCTTCACTGCTGTGGACATTTGGGGACTGAATCAGTGAATCAGTTCTCTCCTGCTTTTTCAAGAAAGAAAAAAAAGCAATTTTGTTTCACCGATTCATTTTTATTTAAAATTATAAGATCCTTCCTTTGGTAGGAACAACCACTCATGTTTGTCATCTATACTACAAACATAAGAAACAGGTGTTTGGTGCAGTGGTTAACATGTTCTTGGCACCTTATATCCCAAATCAGTGTTCGGGTCTTGGAAACCTTGCTTCTCATCCAGATCCCTGCTAATATGTACCTTGAGAAGCAGTAAGTTCTGGGCTCCTGGTAGGACTCGCTGCTGTGGGCATCTCAGTAATTAACCATCAAATAAAAGATACCTGTCTTTCAAATATAAATACTGTAAATATGAATTACATTTTGTGAATGTTTTCAGTTAATTAAATAACAGTTTTTGCTGAGAAGTGGGAAGAAATAACTTCCTACAATGAGGCCAGTCTACAGGGAAGATGAGCTTGAGAATACTGCTAAATTGCATTGAGGGCCGCTATAGGAGCACAACTAGTTAATCTGCCTGCAGCTCCAGTGTACGGTGTGAGCACCAATTCTAGCCCCATCTGCTCCACTTCTGATTCAGTTTTCTGCTTATGAACTGGGAAAGCAGTAGAGGATGGTCCAAATACTGGGGACCCAGCACCCACAGAGGAGTCCCAGAAGAAGCCCCTGGCTCCCAGCTTTGGACCAGCTCAACTCTGGTCATTGTGGCCATTGCGGAGTGAACCAGAGGATGGAAAACCTCTCTCTGTGCCTTTGTCTCTCCCTCTCTTTTTCTCTTTCAAGTAAAACAAATAAAGTTATTTATTTTTTAAATAATGAATACAAATATATTCCATATTCAAAATAAAATAAAACACAGGTATGTACAGGAAAGAACTAAATTTGTCTTACAAATCATAAAGCAGCAACATTTTCTTCAAGAAGATTCTTGATTTTCTTTTCCATTTCTTCAGCGACACATTAGTCATCAAGTAGCATGTTATTTAACTTCATGGTATTTTAAATTTCTTTTTTTCTTCCTGTTATTAATTTCTTACTGTGGCTTTTAATTTAATGGGATGTATATTAACTGTGTAATGCAGACTATCATATCCAGATGTGAGGATACAATGCAGTATGCATCTTTACTTCCAAAGATGAACCCCCAATGAATCTGTTTACTATATCTTGGCAATAGGATGCTGGACTCTCTGCCATTGTCCCTGCCGGCAATGATGGACATATGTCTATTTATGAAGAACTATACTTTAGTAATGATATAGGGGAGCACAGTAGTGAGGGAAGGGGACTTGGGGAGGGGATAAGGGAAATCCCATGGCCTATGGAACTGTACCATAAAATAATAATAATAATTGGCCCCAGCGGAGTGGCCTAGGTGCTAAAGTCCTCACTTTGAACTCACTAGGATCCCATGTGGGCGCCAGTTCTAATCCCGGCAGCCCTGCTTCCAATCCAGCTCCCTGCTTGTGGTTGGGAAAGCAGTGGAGGACGACTCAAAGCCTTGGGACCCTGCACCCGTGTGGGAGACCTGGAAGAGGATCTGGGCTCCTAGCTTCTGATCGGTACTGGCCGTTATGGTCACTTGGGGAGTGAATCATTGGATGGAAGATATTTCTCTGTCTCTCCTCCTCTCGTGTATGTCTAACTTTGCAATAAAAAATAAATAAATCTTAAAAAAATAAATAAAACTGACAGAATTATTTCTACTGTTTTAAGACAGTTTGTGGTATGTTGTTTTGGCAGGTCCAGAAGATAAAGGTAATAAAGAAGATAAAATAGTTTCAATGGTAAAGAATACAAAATTACTAGCAGTTGATTCTACAGTTAGTTTGTTTAATACAAAATGTACAATTCCATGAATTACATTTACACACTCTCTCTGGCTAGCTTAGGCTAGCTTACATTATGTGGCTCTGCAGCATGCCTTCCATTCCTTGCAGCCCTGGCATCCCAAGAACACTTAGGCCTTCCAGACAGTCAGAGAAAAGGCACACGTGTCTCTGTTTTTAGACCCTGGCAAAAGTTCGCTATTTTAAAAAGGAAGGAGAAAATTGCATCTTTCCTTTAAATATTAGCTGTAATTCAACTTGAGTTCATAAATAGGAAGAAATACTATTTAACACTTCTGGTAGGAGTGGATTAATTACTTAAAAGATTTACTTGATGGTTAATTTTGCATATACACATGCATAATGGGTCGAGAGGAGATTGAAATCTTTGTACACTTGATCTGAAGATCAAGTATATAAATCATAAAGCAGTACTTAGATATTTAGTTTTAACAAATCTACAAGGCAATTAAATTAAAAGAGCTGTAGCTTAAATTTGGTCTGATTTGCATTCATAAAACTGAATTCAAATTACACTAATTTTTTAGTAAGAAGTTTCAAAGTTTGTAATTTTCAAAATTTATTCTGATTGTTGCAGAATCAGATTTTATGACAAGAAAAGCTGAACAATTGTAACTAATGACACCATGATAAATACCTTGTTTGTGGGCCAGAACTCTGTGTTTGTGCAACAAGAATTGGAGTTACCTCTCGACTATTTCCACTCTGTGAGAAGACAGACTTTGTTCCAGTTTGGCCAATTCTTGCAACAGACTGTAAAACAGGGGAAAAAAAAAAATCTAAGGTTTATAGATCATAAACTATACTGTAAAATCCTAACAGATACCATGATACTCCCCATTTACAATGTCCCAATGAAAGTATTAATATACATACTATCATTAAAAATTTTTATTGAAGATTTACAGAGAGGAGAGAAAAACAGAGAAAGATCTTCCATCTGCTGGTTCAATCTCCAAATGGCTGCAATGGCCGGGCTGAACTGGCTCAAAGCCAGGTGTCATGTCAGGAGCTTCTTCCAGGTCTTCCATGTGGCTGCACTGACCCAAGGAGCTGGGCCATCCTCTGCTGCTTTCCCAAGTAAACAGCAGGGAGCAGGATGGCAGGGGAACAGCAGGGAATTAAAGCAGTTCCCATATGGGATACTGGCAATTGCAGGCTGACAACCAGTTGGGTCATTGCACTGGCCCTATATTCACCTTAAAATACAAATTGGGACGAGCATTTAGCCTCGTCGTTCAAACACTGGCTAAAACCGCTTTATCCCACATCAAAGTCCCTGGATTTAATTCCTGGTTCCAGCTTCTTATTGCTGAATCTAACAGGTGCTAAAGAAGGCTCAAGTAACTAGGATTCCTGTTACCCACAGGCAAACTCAGGATTGAATTTTCACCTCCCACCATCAGTTTCAGCCCATGTCAAATAATTGAGGGCATTGAGGGGATAAACCTGCAATTAGTGCGCTCATTGCCTCCCTGTCTCTAAAATAAATAAACCAACATAGGAAAATTTTAAAGAGATCTGAAAGACAATGTCACAGAAAGAGACTTAGATGGTCTTCCATTTGCTCATTCATTCCCCCAAACAGCCACACAACAGCCAGAGCTGGGCCACCTGAAGCCAGGAGCCTCATTTAGGCTCCCACATTAGTAGAGGGCCATCTTCCCATGCTTTCCCAGGTGCATTAGCAGCAGGCTGGATCAGAAATGGAGCAGCTGGGACTCTTGACTAGGGCTCATGTGGAATGCTGGTACCACAGGAAGACTTACCCACTTGCTGTATCACAGTACTGGTCTGTTAAGATTTTTTTTCCCCGTTCCTTAAGACTTTTTAAAAAACAGGGGCCGTGGGTAATTGGCATAGTGGCCCAAGTTACTTCTTGAAATGTTAACATTAGAGTGTCTACTTTGAGTGTGGGCTACTCTATTCTCCATCCAGCTTCCTAATAAAGCACAGCCTGGGAGACTGTAGATGACAGCTCAAGCACTCAATACAAGGGAGGCCAAGATGCAGCTCCTGGGTCCTGGCTTCAGCCTTACCCAGTCCTGGCTCTTGCAAGCATTTGGGGAGTGAATCAGATTTCTGTCTCTTCCACTCTCGGCCTATCTCGTTGTCTTTCAAATAAAATGAAGATAAGTAGAATTTTAAAAGAAAAGTGATAGGGCCAGCACTCTGGTTCAACTGGCTAAAGTGCTAGAATCCCATTCGGGGCCAGTTTGTTTCCCAGCTGCTCAGCTTCCAACCTAGCTCACTGGTTATGGCCTGGGAAAGCAAGGGAGGACGGCCCAAAACTTTGGGACTCTGCACCTACGTGAGAGACCCAGAAGTTGTTTCTGGCTCTGGATCACCTCAACTCCAGCTGTAGCCACTTGAGGAGCGAATCAGCAAATGGAAGCTCTTTCTGTTTCTCCTTCACTCTTACCTTTCCAATGAAAAATAAACAAAGCTTAAGGGGCGTCTGAGAGCCAGAGAGGTGGTGTTGGGAAGGAAGCAGTATGTCCGCGGAAGCCCCCGAGACAGCCTCCGCGGAGGAGCAGAAGGAAATGGAAGATAAAGTGATTAGTTCAGAGAAAGCTGAAGAAGCAAAATTAAAAGCAAGATATCCTCTTTTGGGACAAAAGCCTGGAGGTTCAGATTTCTTAAGAAAACGACTGCAGAAAGGGCAAAAATATTTTGATTCTGGGGATTACAACAAAATGGCAAAAGCAAAAATGAAGAACAAGCAACTTCCTGCTGCAGCCCCAGATAAAATGGAGGTCACTGGCAATCACATTCCCACTCCTCAGGACCTTCCTCAATGGAAACCCTCCCTTGTTGCTAGCAAGCTGGCTGGCTGATTAAAAGAGCTGAACTGCATGGAAAAAAAAGAACAAAGCTTAAAGAGAGAGAGAGAGAACAGCACTAAGAAATAAATAGAAAGTATTAATAGCAATTAATAATTGAAAATTCTGATTAAAGAGCCAAACCATGGTGGTGTAGGTTGAGCCTCTGCCTGTGGTGCTGCCATCCCATCTGGGTGCTGGTTGGAGTCCCGACTGCCCCAGTTTCGATCCAGCTCCCTGTTTATGTGCCTGGGGAAGAAGTGGAGGATGGCTTAAGTCCTTGGGCTCTCGCATCCTCATGGGAGATCCAGAAGATGCTCCTGGCTCCCGGTTTCAGGCAGGCCTACCTCCAGCCATGCAGCCATTGGGCAGTTAAGCAGGAGATAGAAAATAATCTTTAAAAAAAGAAAATTTTGATTACTGTAGAAAACCCAAAGATGCTGGTTTCTAGAGCTAATATTTCTTTCCAGGGGTGGACATTTGATTAGTAACTAAGATACTACCTGGGATGCCTGCCTGTCACACACATCAGAGCACATGGATTTGAGTCTGGCTCTACTGGCTCGGCCTCTGTTGCAGCTCTTGCTAATGTGAGCTTTGGGAAGGAACCTGTCACCCTCATGAAACCCAGGCTGAGTTTCCAGCTCGTGGCTTCAACCTAGACCATCCTGGTTGCTGTAGGAATTAGGCAAGTAAAACAGCGGATGGGAGATCTCTGGCTTTCTGCCTTTTACATAAAAACATGTAATATTTCTCTTTAATTTGCTTCATTAATTGGGCCCTACTCCCTTGGAAGAAAAAAAATCTTTGCTTGCCTCTTGTGTCCTCTCTGATTTCTATTCATTATCACCACCCACCTTCTTCATGTCTGATCACAGCCAAAAGGCTGACAAGCCATCACCTATGACTACTCTATCAGTGGATTCTTTTCCCCCACTAGATAATTTTCCTTCAAAACTTATTATTAAGATTTATTTATTTTTATTGGAAAGTCAGACTTACAGAGAGAACAGGAGACAGAGACAAAGATCTTCCATCTGCTGGTTCATTCCCCAAATGACCACAATAGCTGAAGGTTAGTACATCTGAAGCCAGGAGCCAGGAGCTTCTTGTGGGTCTCCCACAGGGGTACTGGGTCCCAAGGTTTCTGGCCATCCTTTATTGCTTTCCCAGGCTATAGGCAGGGAGCTTGATAGCATGTACAGCAGCTGGGACACAAATTGGTGCTCACATAGGATCCCAGCATGTAGAAATACAGGATTAGCCAATTGATCCAACGCATGAGGCCCTCTTCTTGCTCCTCTAAATTGGGACAACTACACTAAAGTCAGTCCTGTCACTTCTTTAATTATTAAAGAACTACATTCAGTATTCACTGTTATACTTGGCTTGATAATTTTAGTTGATAATGCATTTTGGATCTAACCATGTAATTTTTGGGGAAACACTTTGTAATAGATAAGAACAGAAGAGGAAGAAGTAGATTAAGTTACTGCAATCCTATACCTGGTTCACTACCTAAACTGTCCTAAGTTGCTATAGTTCTTCCATGTGCATGTGTGTGTTTTAAGATTTATCTATTTATTCAAATGTCACAGTGACTGAAAGGGAAGCAGAGGGAAGGGCTTGAGAAGTTGAGCTACCACCTGTTGCCTCCTAGGCCCACTAGTTGGAAGTTGGTTGCAAAGCTGAGTAGCTGGGCGTCACACCAGGCACCTTGGTGAAGGATACAAGTATTCCAAACTGTGGCTTAACATGTCTGTCACAATGTCCTCCGCAGCATTTACTATTTTGACCTACTTCATCTGGCATACTGTCAATCTACTCTCTTTTAACTGCAATAAAAGCATTTCCATAATTGCATGTCACTGCATAATAAAACAATATCGGGTAGTTGTTCACTTTTAAAAATCAGGTTTAAATCAGCTCATATATGGGCCCAGTGCGGTAGCTCAACAGACTAATCCTCCATTTGTGCAAGTGACAGCATCTCATAAAGGCATCAGTTCGTGTCCTGGCTCCTCCACTTCTAACATAGATAGAGAGAGAGAGATACATAGATAGATTTTATTGGAAAGTTGGGTATACAGAGAGGAGAGACAGAGAGAAAGATCTTCTGTCCAGGTGGCCGCAATGGATGAAGCTGAGTCAATCCAAACCCAGGAGCCAGGAGCTTCTTCCGGGTTTCCCATGCAGGTGCAGGGTCCCAAGGCTTTGAGCTGTCCTCAACTGCTTTCCCAGGCCACAAGCAGGGAGCTAGAAGGGAAATGAAGCAGCCAGAATATGAATGCTGGCGCCCATGTGGGATCCCAGGGCGAGCAAGGTACGAATTTTAGCCACTAGGCTACCACACCGCATCTGCTCCTCTACCTCTGATCCAGCTCTCTGTGGTCTAGAAAGGCAGTGAAGAATGACCCAAGTCCTTGGGAAACCACAACGATAGGGAAGACCCACAAGAAGCTCCTGGCTTCAGATTGGCTCAGCTCCAGCCATTGTGCCATTTGCAGAGTGAATTAGCAGATGGAAGCTTTTTTTCTCTGTCTCTCCTTTCTGCAAATCTGCCTTTCCAATAAATGAATAAATAAATAAATATTTGAAACAACAATAGGGCCCAGCATGATAGCAGAGCGGTTAAAGTCCTCGCCTTGAATGCACCAGGATCCCATATGGGTGCCGGTTCTAATCCAGCGGCCCCACTTCCCATCCAGCTTCCTGCTTGTGGCCTGGGAAAGCAGTCAAGGATGGCCCAAAGCTTTGAGATCCTGCACCCGTGTGGGAGACCTGGAAGATTCTTCTGGCTCCTGGCTTCAGACTGGCTCAGCTCCAGCCATTGCGTCTGCTTGGGGAATGAACCATTGGACGGAAAATCTCCCTGTCTCTCCTCCTCTTTCTATATCTGCCTTTCCAATAAAAATAAACACATCTTAAATAACTAACTAATAAATAAAAGTAAAACAACAATAAAACCAATACCCACAAACATACACACACAGAAGAAAACAGCTCATAATATATGCTACCTTGCAGTTCCTTTTTAACTATTCAGAGTTTTGAATACCATTCCCTAGCTAATATACAGAAAAAAATGTTTGCAGCCTCAACAATACTTATGAGTAAAGAGCAAGTATGTTTTTACACAGGTGAAGGGACCGCATCCGTTAGCCATTTGTTAACAACTTACTTAACTTGCACTTCTTTAAATTCTATGAAGTGTGGAAACAGACATTTCAAATCTACCATCTTCTCTAATTTAATTATTTTAATTTTTACAGAAGATATTTTGTGCACTCTACTATCATATAGCTATGAAAACAATGAAAGAAGTGTCTCATAAATGTATTACAGTATTTACTACAAGAATACTGACAAATATCTTTGATCTTGACACATTTGAGTACCCACTATAAAAATTGTATTAACCCAAATATCTGCTTTATCTAAATACACTTGTTTTCACACAATTATTAGTGGTAACAATAAAAAATAAAAAAGTAAATAAACTCCACTGGAGCCAGCATTGTTGTATAACAGGTAAAGCTTCTGCCTGTGGCATTGCCATACCTAATGGGTAAATGCCCTGGCTGCTCCACTTAATGTCCTATCCAGCTCCCTGATAACGGCCTGGGAAAAGCAGCAGAAGATGGGGCAAGTGCTTGGGTCTGCCACTCATTTGGGAGACCTGGAAGAAGCTCCTGGCTCCTGGCCAGACTGGCTGTTGTAGCTACCTAGGGAATGAATCAGCAGACAGAAGATCTTAATCTCAGTGTAACTCTGATTTTCAGATAAATAAATTAATTAAAACAAAAAAATCACATGCACACAGTAGTGGGAACAAGTGAAAAGGCAACTATAATCTGTTATTTATGTTAAATATGATAGAAACAATTATCTTGGCTAAAAAAGGAAAATATATTATTTAGCTATATGCTGACTGAAGTAAGCTTTCTGAGTTCTAATCTTTTTTTTTTTAATGATTTATTTTTTATTTTAAAGTCAGAGTTACAGAGAAGAGAGGGAGAAACACAGAAAGAGAGAATCTTCCATTCATTGCTTCACTCCCCAGATGGCCACCATGGCTAAGAGCCAGCAGCTCATCCAGCTCCCACGTGGGGTAGAAGGGGCCCCAAAATTTGGCTTATCCTTGGATGCTTTCCAGGGTCACACACAAAAAACTGCATAGAAGCAGAGCAGCTAGAACTCAAACTTGCATCCAGAGGGGGTGTTGGTGTTGCAGGCTGAGGCTTTAGCCATTACACCATAACACTGGCCGTGAGTTCTAACCCTACTGACCAAAAGAACAAATGGTTTTCTCCTAATATAATGAAGAGGCTATGACAATGATGACATTCTTTCACTTCTTCAGCAACTCTAGAACAGGCATGTGGCACAGTGGTTAAGATGTCACTTGGGCTATTTCATCCAGTACAGGAGGGCCTGGGTCTAGCTCCTAACCTACTCCAGTGCCAGGTTCTTGCTAAGGTGCATGCTGAGGGGTACATGGTGATGGCCAAGTAATGCGTCACTGACATCCACATAGAAGACCCGGACAGAGTCTGAGATCCTGGCTTTACTCTGACCTATTCCCAGCTTGCTCTAGGCCCTTGGAGAGTGAGCTAGGGAATAGATTTTTCTCTGCCTTTCAAATAAACAGAAATAAGCACATTCAAAAAATCACATCACTCTTCTCAAAAACAAAAACAAAAAAACATCTAGAGTAAGGGCAGCTACATAGAGTTGGACCCTCTCTGAACTTCTCACAGACTGTACTTCTAAGCAAATTTTCTTTAATCAATAACAAAGTTAAATTTTACAAGGAAAATACCTTTTTTGTGGGGGCTCCGGTGGATGGCACATCAATTACAGAAGGTGTGTTAGTGTAGTTTTGTAAATAGGATCCATCTCCAGGACTTGGGGTTTCTAATGGCAAAATCCCAAAACTGAGAAGAGGTTGAAATCAAGGTGTCAAAAAGTCATCAAGGCATATATAAAGCAGCAGTATACTTAAATTAGAAGGTCTAAAAGGAAGAGAATGGCAAATCAGTCTTGGGGGCAGTGAGTATCTGAGGGGCAGATTATAAATAAACTGTGAATGTAGACTATTCCACCCACCATGACTAAAACAGGAAAAAAAACTCAAACAGGGAATGACACTGAGCAACAATAACTGTTCTTAGGAGATTTACTAGAAATAAAGAAGAATTATTAATGAAAGCTAAGATCCAAATGATCCAAATTGTTAGGATTTCTGAGCTACAATCACAAAGAAACTGCTGTAAAATCACAAAGAAACTGCTTAGTATCTCCTTCACCATAAAACCAAACTGACACAATCAGCTTTAGCACAGGATCTTAATTTGGATGCTCTTAGATATGTATTCTCTGGGATAGGTCCCTGTATGCACACATATATGCTTTAAATAAACCTGATACAATAATTCATAATTATCTATACTTTCTCCCTGTTTTGGAAAGCAGCACTCCAACAGTCACTAGTGTTGCTCTGTTTATATCACAACATTTCAAAGGATCACTGCTCTCCACCACACAGAGACAGACAGTATCTTTTCATGCACTCTATTATTTTCCTTTTGTTGTGGTTCATTTTCTGAGAATCCTCCTCTATTTCAACAACAACTTATGCTGCTATATAAATTAACTGACATTAGTAATTACTAGGAATCATAAGATCACATAAAATGGCATATTTTAAAGTATCTTTTCTGTGACTTACCTTGGTGTTAATGGGCTAAGAGCAGCTGGTCCTCCTAACAAACTTCGACCTGTTTTTGGTTTATTTTGAACCTGTTTAGCTAATATAGAAGTTCCTGTTCCAAGAGGGACAGTATCTGGTGAAATCACTGCCGAATCAATATAAGACACCGAGGAATCTGTATTCAAGGAGTACTTTGAATTGGAAGATTCTAAATTCAGTCTATTTAATTCCTAAAACAGAAATTTCCACAATGTGACTTACAATACATTATTTAGCTCAGACTATTCCTTTTAGCTTCCACAGTATTTTGAACATTAAAATTTGATATACTTACAATGGTGTCCTGGGGTGTTTCCGTAAGAACTGTCTCAGGCTGTCTGTGAGATAAACTATGATTTGATACTAGTGTTGTACAAGAGTTGGGTAGACAGCTGCTAAAGTTCTGTAAAGATGTTAATTTAAAAGTCTGGTCAGGATCTGGCTTTTCACCTGTGAAGACCCCAGAAAAGAAAAAAAAAATGTTGCCTGTGAGGAAATGAAAGATAAATATTTTTTCAAGTATACATAAATATCTGGGAATAAAGTCTTTTCCACAGTTTCAAAATTCTCCTGCCTGTTTCTGCTAAGCAAAAGTCTCATCCATCTGCCTGTCCACCAACTTACAAAACTTACCCCTAACATAAAGCTGCAAATACAGGAAATAAACTATACTGTAAGGACTCTGATTTACACTAAATCTCAGGAAAATGCAGTCTTCAGAGTCGTTTTCAAAGCAGAAGCAACTAGATCTCATTTTTCTCAAGTTAGGGGGTAAGGTTAGACAGCTGAAACAGTAAAGACCAAAGTCAAAGCACTTCCATGCATACAAGTGCCTGCTAATGCATTCTAGAATACACAGGCTGAGATACTACCCTTTCAGGTACCAGATTTCTCTGGGAGCTCTATTATGTCTTTTCTTATCCAGAAAGCTATTTTGGCTACTGTTCTACACACAACAAATCCAGTAGAGGACATATCTGAGGCAGACAGATGGCTAAACAAGAGATTGTTGACTTACTTGGGTTATTTAACGTTGCAAAACCTTTTTCTTGTGAACAGACAGTTTGCATTATTCAGGGAAGGGGTGGGGGTGGCGAGAAGGTGGAGAAAAACGCAGGCACCTTTCCTCTGTCACCTCCACACACTTACCTATTTCACATAATGATTCAAAGGGAGACCAGAGGAAAGGATTTAAACTAAGGCTCTTCTGGTAACATTCTGATCCTTTGGCAAGCCGATCTGTTTTGCTGCGGAGGAAAACAAATGGATTTAAAAATCTGCAAACTCTAAAATACTTATGACATTGTGGGGATAAGAATTAGGCAACATTATACAAGTCCTAAAAGCGCTCTTCTGATATTTCCCTATATTATCAATTTCTTCTTATTAGCACTGTATAAGTTTCTTGTCATAACGGAAAACAAATAAAACATGAATTGAAAGAAATGTTAAAAACAACACCCAGTCCAAAACCTTCTTGATGACTATTACTACTTCTAATTTCCTTATACTAAAGTTTCTCAGGAAGACACAGAAAATATTTAAATAGTTTTTTAGTTCTGATTTTTAAGCCCCATGGTTAATTTTGAAAATTATGTGAATGCTTTAAATATAGCATTTGCAAATGAACAGCTTTTAAAACAAGTATCTTTAAAAATTATTTCTTTGAAGGAGTTACAGAGAGGGAAGCAATGAGAGAGAAAGAAAGAGAGAGGCTTCCAGCAATCAGCAACGGGCCAGGCAGAAGCCAGGAGCTTCATCCAGATCTACCTGGGTGGGATCCAGACTGGAAGAGAAACACCCAGGACTCAAAATGATGCCTACGTAAGGATGTTGGTGGCGGCTTTACCCATTATATCACAATGACAAAGTAATAGCTCTTAATGAAAGGGAAAGGCATATTTTTTTTTCTAAATCAGATGAACAAGAATTTATTAGAAATCTAGAGAATATTCCTGGAGAGAATGAGTTAGTTGATAATGATTCACTGACAAGAGTTAAATTACCTGGTCTGAGGTTCAAGCACTTTTAATATCAAATGGAAATAACTGAAGATACAATAATGCTCTCACAATTCTAAGGTTTTTATAAAAGAAGCATTTTGCATCTAGGCAGGATTTTCAAAGGAATGTTCACGTGAAACAATCAGTGAAAACACACATCATCTGCTTACATGATACCCATGGAATCCCGGAGAACTGTACAGAAAGCAGTTTATCTATCTATTTGAAAGTCAGAGATAGAGAGAGAGGGAGAGACACAGATCTTCCTTCCATCTGCTTGCTGGCTCACTCCCCAGAAGCTTGCAACAAGGAGCAAGAAGAAGCCAGAGCCAGGAACGTGGGCGCATGGGCCCAAACACTTGGACCATTTCCACTGGTCTTCCAGGTCAGCAGTAGGAAACTGGATCAGAAGCAGAGCAGAAGGCCCGCGAAGCAGCAGCCACAGGGGGTGCTGGCCCTGCAGGTGGTGGTTTTACACACTTAGCACAACTCCTAATCCTCTTTGGGGACTAGATTATGGTTTGTTTCATTTCCAAATTCTCAAGTGAACAGAATATAGAATAAAGAGTATAATAAAGACTTCCAGTTAAAGGATACCCAGTTTTCCACACTTGCCTAAGGTAAGTTACTAAACTCATGGACAAAATGGGAGGAAGCAAGAGTACCAGGCAGATTTTTGGAAAACGTTAAGTCTTGTCAAAGCCAACACTTAAAAATAAAATTTCTTTTAAAATGTTTACTTATTCATCATGGGTCTGGTGTGACGGTTCAGTGGCTAAATCCTCATCTTACATGTGCTGGGATCCTAGATGGGTGCCTGTTCATGTTCCAGCTGCTCTACTTTCCATCCAGCTCCCTGTTTCTGGCATGGGAAAGCAGTCAAGGATGGCCCAAAGCCTTGGAACCCTGTAGCTGTGTGGAAAACCTGGAAGAAGCTCCTGGCTCCTGTCTTCGGATTGGCTCAGTTTGGGCAAAGCAATGGCACACATCGTATCATACTCCCTGGGTTCAAACCCCAGCTTTGTTTCTGATTCCAGTTCACTTCTGCTGAGCACCCAGAGACAGCAAATGATGACCCAAGTAAATGAATTCCTGAAACCAACATGGGAGACTCAGATTGAGTTATTGGCTCCTGGTTTGAGATTGATCCTGCCCTGGCTATTGTAGGTAACGGGGGGGAGCGGGGGTAAACCACAGGATGGGTGATCTTTCTCAAATCCAAGTACTAACCAGGCCAGACCCTGCTCAGCTTCCAAGATCAGACGAGATTGGGCACATTCAGGGTGGTATGGCCGTAGACTGGATGATCTTTCTATACTTTCTCCATTACTATACTCTGATTAATCTAGCTCTCCTGTCAAATAATTTTTTTAAGATTTATTTATTTTTATTGGAAAGGCAGATTAAGAAAGAGGAGGAGAGACAGGGAGATTTTCCGTCCAACGGTTCATTCCCCAAGCAGACGCAATGGCTGGAGCTGAGCCAATCCAAAGCCAGGAGCCAGGAACTTCCTCCAGGTCTCCCACACATGGGTGCAGAGTCCCAAGGCTTTGGGCCATCCTTGACTGCTTTCCCAGGCCACAAGCAGGGAGTTGGATGGGAAGTGGAGCTGCTGGATTAGAACCGGCGCCCATATGGTATACTGGTGCATTCAAGGCGAAAACTTAAACCACTACGCTATCATGCTGGGCCCGTGTCAAATAATGTTATACTCTTCAAACATCTACTTCTTTTGGAAGTCATCTCTTAGTTAACATCTCAAATCTCTTCTTTTTGTAAGACTTATTTTTGAGAGGCAGATATACAGAGAGAAGAGACAAAGATGTTCCATCCTTGATTCACTCCCCAAATAGCGACAATAGCTGGAGCTGATTCAATCTGGAGCCAGGAGTCGGGGGGTTTCTTCTGGGTCTCCCACTTCAGTACAGGGGCCCAAGGACTTAGGCCATAAATATAGAGTTGGATCAAAAGTAGTGCAACTGCACATGAACTGGCACCTATATGGGATATTGGCGCTTGCAGGTAGAGGATGAGACTGCTGAGCTACCACACCAGCCTGGTCACTTCTCAATCAGGTAGAACTGATCATTCTCTTATTTGAACAAAACAGTGCTCATATTTTATCACAACACTTCTTCTTTTATTGTGATAGCTAGAACTTTCAAACATTTACTGCTCCTCCCTTTCTATTCTATAATTCACTGAGGGTGGGAATTGTGAGTTATTTATCTTTACATTCCTAGTACCAAGGTCTGTATCTACCTATAATGAGCAGATGCATCCCAAGTTTCTGAATGAATGACAAGAATCAGTTATATAAAGGCAACTCATTACACCCAGGTTCTTTTCTTAACTTAAATGAAGACACTAATATATATCTTTACTTATTTCTCTGTATTCGCATTAATGAATAGACAAACCTCTTCAACATATGGCAGTGGGTCTCAAAATTCAGCCAAACACTTCATTCTGCTCAACATTAAATTTTGAAGGCTTTAAAAAACTACCTCTCGGGCCCGGCGCGGTGGCGCAAGTGGTTAAAGGTCCTCGCCTTGCACGCCCGGGATCCCATATGGGCGCCAGTTCTAATCCCGGCAGCCCTGCTTCCCTTCCAGCTCCCTGCCCGTGGCCTGGGAAAGCAGTTGAGGACGGCCCAAAGCTTTGGGACCCTGCACCCGTGTGGGAGACCCGGAAGAGGCTCCTGGCTTCGGATCGGCATAGTATTGGCCCGTTGTGCTCACTTGGGGAGTGAATCATCGGACGGAAGATCTTCCTCTCTGTCTCTCCTCTCTGTATATCCGCCTTTCCAATAAAAAAATAATAAAAATAAATCTTTAAAAAAAAAAAACTACCTCTCAACTAGCCCGAATTTATCAGATGCTATCCTGGTTCATGAATCAGCAGCCCTCAGTCACTGTTTCTATGAAGTGACAGAGGACATTTACTTATGTGAAGCATTACTTATGGGTACACCGTAACTCCCATTGTATCCTCACTATATCCCCTTCTTCTCAACTCCAAAAGGACTTGATAACTTTGAATTCATACTCATTTTAAAAATTCAAGTAAGTGTAAACATTATTTGCAAAATCACTATTGTAGGACATTTCTTATGACATATTTCAAAATCTCTGATCTACTAAATGAAGATCATTACTGAAACTTGTCTTGAAGTCTCTTTCTGAGGAGCACAGTCAAACACAGGATTAGAGCAAGCATAGCGGGTCACATGAGGACCTTTCAGCAAGGTGATATCACAGTCACATTCTGTGCACTCACACTTCTGCAGTGCCGAGCAGCTACTACTATGCCTATGCAGAGTCAGAAACAGGTTCAATAGTTCCACCATTTAACAGGTTTCAGAAGGAATGGAATCAGACGATTGTATACGACTCAAACAATTGATACTTCACACAGACCAACACTGGTTTTTATAAAAAAAACATTCTCACTTGGAAATCATTTTTCTAGCAGTATGAATCACTTTTACTCACCAATACACATGTCCCAACAAAGAAAGAGTAAAGCAAGCTGAATCACCAAACTCAGTAACAATATCATCATAGCTTTTCTGCTTATTAAACACTCCGCCAGATAAGATCTGTTCCCCTTCTGCAAGCCTTTAAAATACAAATTCACAGATTTTTAAAAATCAGTATACAAAGTACTTTAGCTAAAGGCATCTTCATTACCAACATACATTTAACCATGTGTAAACAAAAAACCTTTTGTAATTTTGGATTGTGGTAAATATGTATTTAGACTCATTTGAGAGGCTAGACATTTAGGACCTTAAAATTGTACTTTCACCTTAAAAGCAAAACCAATTAACAGTTCATCTGTTTTTATTCATCAATTATATTTTGGTTACTCAACTGAATAATAAGCACTCAACTAAAAATATTTGCCAGATTTTACTACACTTTTTAACATATCGAGTTTGTAATGGTTTGTATTTCTCAAGATTTTATTAAAAAGAATCTACATCATTATGTGAAAAACTCTTAAGGTTATACAGTATATCTTGAACACAAGAGATGATATCTGAAGCTCTTTTACTATCAGGGAATTTCAACAGTCAAATTAAATAAGATAAAATTTCAATATAAAAATCTTTGGAATTTAATGATAAATACCTCAAAATTCTCTATTTTTAACTTAAAAGTCATCAATCACTACACATTTAATATCACTTAATATATCTATACTTTGTGACTTTATGAGAATGATTTGTATCTTCCCAGTGTAACCCTATACACCAAACACATATATGGTCTTTTACAAATATCTGTTTAGCTACTTTTATCACTATTCTGTCTCTTTAATATAGAAAAGTGTTTAACAGAACTAACTATATCTCTAGCTCAGATTTGGAACAGGTGACTAAGTTTAAATGTAATGTGATTACATTACGTTTTAAAAAATCCCAAGGGATGTATTGAACAAAAGCAGCACTTTCCTGAACCTGTCCCCTTGCTTTAGCGGGGTAGGTAGTAGAGCCCAAGTAAAATGATCCTGAAAGGAGTCTAGCAACACCTAGACACAGGAGTATTGATCTCAAGCGATGGGCAGGTTGTCAGGGCATGCAAAGCAAAGGAAAGGATCATTCTTTTCCTTGTGCTCATTCTGAGAACTGCTATGAATCAGCTGCAATCTGATTTCTCCAGAGTTAAATTCTATTGTGTGTAACAATGACATCTGCCCTTAACAAACATAGTGCCACCGACAACAGTGTAAACATTTTAAATATTAATTGAAATACAAATTCCTACTACTTCAAAGCAAAGGGAAGATAGGGAGTCAGTTTAATCTCAAAAGAATTTTACCCAAAATTCTACAGTGTAAGCAGAATAAAAATAGAAAATATTTTAAAACTTACTTGCTGAGATCAACACAACATTTTGCAAGCAGATATTTGCACTGTGGTGTAGTACAACTGTGCCCTTTCAGGAGTCTGTAGGCTTTATATGCCTTTCCTGAGCGGTAATAGCAGGTTGCCAGTAGAAACAAGGCTTCTTCTGAGTGAACTAACAAGAGATATTCAAAAAGCTGTTGTTCAGTCTATGTAATGGTAATTGCTTTATCTGATAATAGACAAGTGTAGCAACAAAAATTGAAGCATATTTTTTTTGAGGTATGCTGTTAAATACCAAAACAATCACTCAGTATTTCAAAACTGAATTATGGAGAAGTATTTAGAAGATAAGAGTTACTAGTACCCTTAGATACTTTAAAACCATGAAGAGAGTGAACGTTCCACAGAACACGGCTGTAGAAAATTACCTAGGACTCCTTATTATGTGAAGAGGAAAGAGACTATACGAGAAGCAAACAAGCAGATGGCTGGATTGTGTAGCACCGTGCAAGCTATATAAAAACTTGGGGATTGATCATTACAGCAGACTACTCTGAGTTACAGAGAGAGGGAGAGACACGTCTTCCAACTGCTGGTTCATCCCCCAGATGGCTGCAGCACCCAGGGATGGACCAGGCTGAAGCCAAGAACCAGCTGCATCTGGCTCGCCAATGGGAATGGCAGGGGCCCAAACATTTGTGCTATCCTCTGCTTCTCCCAGGCACATTACCAGGCAGCTAGGCAGAAACAGAGCAGTGAAAACGTGAATAATACCTAAATGGGATATGGACTTGGCAGGAAACAGCTTTATCTGGTGCCCCATAATGCTGGACTCAGCTTTTCGTGTGTGTGTTTCATACATTTTTATGTACTTATTTGAGAAACAAAGATTCCCATTCACTGAACTCCCCAAACACCTGCAATAGGTTGGGTTGGGCTGAAGGCAGAAGTGGAACACAAACCAGGTCTCCCAGGTGAGTGGCAGAAACCCAGTCACATGCTCCATCACTGCATTAGCAGGAAGCTGGAGTCAGGAGCTAGAACCAAAACTGGAACACAGGTATGCTAAAGTACAATGTAGAAGAGCAGGCAGGTAAGTTCAACAGTAACTAAATGCTCACACCCCATGAAGAGTTTTAAGAAGGACAGTAAAGACAACTGGTCAACTTAGAGGACAGGGATGATGCAGGGAAGGATAGGTATCGGGGTTGCCAAGGCTGGGCTAGGCTGCAGTACCCGCCAGAATGAGCTGGAACTGGGGCAGGCTGGGCCGAGCCAGGCTGCAGCACCTGCTGGTGGATACCAAGGTGAGGCAAACCATGCCAATCTGGGCTGCAGCTCCCACCAGCACACAAAACCTGGGATGGAGGGTGAGCCTAGCAGAGGAATTATGAGGATGACTCTTCTGTTGGGCCACTGCTCCTGCTGGAGCATGAGAGCTGGGAGTGGGCACAGACCAGCCTGGGCAGGGTTATAACACCCATTGGCCTGTATGTGAGCTGGGTTGGGGAAGAGCCAGGTTGGGCTAAGTGACCATATCCACTGGTGCATGCATGAGCCAGAATTAAGTGTAGGCTGGTTTTGAGCTTTGCCCCAGCATCAACTGGCGAGTGCTGGGAATGGAGGCAAGTCTTTTCAGACTATACTGTAGATCCATCTGGAAAATGAAAGGGCTGGGAGTGGGCTCATAGGGAAACTGTGGGCACCATTCTGACAGGCTACAGATCCCACCAGTGAGCATGAGAACCAAGGCTGGGGCAGGTCTGGTTAGACAGGTGGTGGCACCCACTGGCATGAGTGTAGGCTGGATAAGCGGAGTTGGTTAGGTTGAGCTAGGCTTCAATGTTCATGGATGTATATGAGAGCTGAATGGGATATGGGAGAGACTGGACCAGTCTGCTTCACCTACCGGTATGCACAGGAACCAGGGCTGAGGGCAGGTCTAGTGGAAGTTATTGAGGGGTTGTTCAGGCTTCAGTTCCTGCTGATAACACTTGAGGGCCAAATGGGTGGTGGGCAGGGTTAGGCTGTGCCAGAATCCATTAGTTTGAGCATGAGATGGGGCTGGGGACAGAAGTGACCAGGTGACTGTAGCAACCAGTATGTATGTAGGCTTATGTGGGTGATGGACTGAGCTGGAACCCATATTCGCTGGCACACACAGTCATGTTAGGGTTACCTCTGGTGAGCTTTATTTGGGGACTCTCCCCTCAACTGGATCACTGGACTCGAAATCCAACCACAGTAAAAATTACAGGATCTGTGGTCTGATCATGGAGTGCATGTGTCAAAACTGCATATGCATGGTTGCAGAGGCCTATGCAGTACACAGCATACCTAGATGCTCATGGGGGTCATAAACAACCAGTTTATCAAGGCCTACAGAGGATATCTAGTAGCATGGAGGGCAGAACAAATTGGACAATGTCAGCCAATGGACCTTGGAAGGATTTCCTCAACCTTGCAACAAGAAAATCAACAGCATCTCAGAATTATCAAAACCACTTAAGCAGTATCCTCAAAACATGTTCCACACTGGGGGTCCATGGGATGACATCAAGTGGCCTTCCCCCATTCCTGGGTACTGATGTAGTCGGGCTGCTTGGAGTGGCTTTCTCCCTCCCCTCTTCTCACCACTTTCCCCAGATACCAGAAGAAAAAAGGAATTTGGAGGCAGTCCTCTCATCTACTTTCCCCCATGCTTCGACTCTCCCCACCCTAATTAGTGGTCCACATGGGAATAAACATCATCAAAAATAAATGATTTAAAAAATAAACACTAGCTCTATAAGACAGTAAAACATAGGGACTCCATACATATTAACAATATAATTATTCATAATAAACCAGGAATTTGTAGGAATTGAGTGCAATAGGATAAGGAGTACAATGAATATTCAGAAAGCTCATGGAAAATTAGTAGATTTCAACATTGGACGCATAAAAAAAATTTTTTTTAATTCCACTTTCTAAGAACTTTTTAAAATTTACAGATTTCTGTTCATTTTACAAATTAATTTATTTCAAAGGAACAGAGAGAGACAGAGATCTTCTGTCTGCTGGCTCACTCCCCAAATCGCTACAATGTAAGTGATGTACCAGTCCAGGAGCCAGCGGGTTCCTCTGGGTCTCCCACATGGGTGCAAGGTTCCCAGGATTTGAGCTACTCCACTACTTTCCCAGCCTATGAGCAGGGAACTAGATTGGAAGCAGGGCAGACAGGATACAAACCAGCATCCCAGCCATGGAGATGGTGATTAACACGCATCACACCAGACCGCGGCACCATATTATCTTCTTTCTAAGCTTCCTGTTTCTCCTCCTTTTGGATCTTTTCACTAGGCCTGCAAACTCCTGCCGGACACATCTTCCCCTTTCTTTCTTCAGTGAACTCCCATTCTCCCTGGAGGACCTGGGGCACTTTCATAACAATGGCAATCCTCTTATATTCAGATAAGGTCAGCTTCTCCCTCAAATTCTCAAAACTTTTCTAAATACTTCTTCTTGACCTTCTGGGATATTCTCTTCCCCAAAGAGTCATATCCTCTCCTTACAACTATTATTAAACTCAGGATACTTTGGTTCATTAATTAAAGAATTTATATTCCTTTCTATGTTCCAACACAATCTCACTATGATGGGAGATATACTTTATTAAATAGCAAAAAAATACAGTGTCAATAAATAAAAACAATATTTAAACCAAGTAAAATGCCATGTGGCAGGAAAAATATTTTTAAAATAATATCAAATAAATAATATAGGAGAAAATTTTGTTCTTATTTTACTTGATGTAATTTCTTTTAAAATTTTAAACTACTGGGGGCCCGGTACGATGGCGCAAGTGGTTAAGGTCCTCGCCTTGCACACCCGGATCCCATATGGACGCCGGTTCTAATCCCGGCAGCCCCGCTTCCCATCCAGCTCTCTGCCTGTGGCCCGGGAAAGCAGTCGAGGACAGCCCAAATCTTTGGGACCCTGCACCTGTGTGGGAGACCCAGAAGAGGCTCCTGGCTTCAGACTGGCTGAGCTCCAGCCGTTGCGGCCGCCTGGGGAGTGAATCATCAGACGGAAGATCTTCCTCTCTGTATATCCGCCTTTCCAATAAAAATAAAAAAATTAATCTTTAAAAAAAAATGTTTAACTACTGGGCCTGGCACGGTAGCCAAGTGGCTAAAGTCCTCACCTTGCACATGCTGGGATCCCATATAGGCACCAGTTTATATCCCAGCTACTCCACTTCCATTCCAGCTCTCTGCTTGTGACCTGAGAAAGCAGTGGAGGATGGCCCAAACCCTTGGGTCCCTGTACCCACGTGGAAGACATGAAAGAAGCTCCTGGCTCCTGGGTTCAGGTTGGCTCAGCTGTGGCTGTTGCCACCACTAGGGAAGTGAGCCAGCAGATATTAAAGCTTTCTCTCAGTCTCTTCTTCTCTCTGTAAATCTGACTTTTCAATAAAAATAGATAAATCTTAAAAAGTTTTTTAAACTACCAAGAATTATATATTTATTGTAGTTATAAAAAGACAACTTCCAACTTCTGAAATAATGGGGAAAAAAATCACAAATAACAAAACCAGTGATTTAAAAGAATTAGGAATAATAAGCTGCATCCTTAAGAGTTTCTCATATAAGTAAAGATATATTAAAAAAAAAAGGCCAAAATCTGATGCTGGTAAGACTTTCTAAATCAAGTGTTTTCTTATACTGTCAGCAATAATCTATATGTGCTTGTGTAGTAGCACTGATCATATCCTTTAAGTGTAAATCCCTTTAAGAGAATATGTAACCCTAAGAAAAGACTGGAAGAAAAAGAAGTTGCACTCAAGTATACCTATCAGCATCTTAGAAAGAGAATGCTCCAATGAAAAACATACATTAGTAATATTATTTATTTAGCATTCACCAGATGATTGTGTCAAGTGCTTTAATATTATTTTTAATATTATTTTATTTAATTTTTCCAATTCTATGAAGCAGGCATTATTATCTTTATTTTATAAGTAAAACTGTTCAGGCATTAAGTAACTTGTCTAAGGTTACATATACAACAATATTTAAATATGACAAGATCAAGACTTGTACCAAGACTGAAAACTCTAAATTTATGCTTTTGGCTACAGAAAATAAACTTTGTTCTTAAACAGAAATCTGGGAAGATAATACCTGATGATTGGAAAAGTATTAAATAAACTGTTGTGTATAAACCTGAATACATCTGACACAACTCTTTAACAAATAATGGAGCTAACAGAAGGTGAAGTTTCTATGAACTATCATCAAGTCATAAAGAATAAAAAGGACCCAAACTCCTGCTACAATCATAAAAAATGACAGAATTCCATGCATTTTGCTCATTTATGGCTTTACAGAAATGAACAGATTACAAACCTTCTGCATACAGTCGTTCTGCGAGGAAAACTGCATCTCGATAAGCATAGTGATTTAGTGCTTGCCATATAGCAGCCTGTAAATACAGGAGAAGAACATAAACACCCATACATAGTTCAAGGTAACACTTGACAGTCTTGCACATAATACTCCAATTACTACCCCTGAGCTAAGTGATAAACCCCAGCGTGCACAGAGCAAACTCCATAGTTTGTTTGGTAAGTCTCTTCATAATATGGCTGATGCAGTAGAACGTACTCTTCATGGACTTGTAGCCTTCTGTGCCTTCATATTAAAGTGGACTCCCTTCCCACTCTTCCTTTTTCATATTGATCATCCCTCCAATTCTCACGCATTTAAGAAAGCACATAAGAATCCAAGTAAGTACGCCTTCAAGAGTATGTCAAAAGGTTTGTGCAAAATGGAATTGAAATATACTCATTTTAATGTAAAAACTTATGAAATCCATGCATGCCAATTTTCAAAATCATGGAAAAAATACATGAAAAAAATGAAGAGTTCAGAAAAATTTCTGCACCAAAATACATCTATCTTTCAGTTCCACTTTTCCAAGAACTTTAAGGAGTATTCATGTAGAGACTAGAAGCACTTTTTAAGGGATGCAGTATGTGAAGCTTCTGACTGCAGCGCCACCATCCCACATTAGAAAGCCTGTTTGATTCCCTAACGTGCCTGGCAAAGCAGTGGAGGATGGCCTGCATACTCAGAACCCTGCATCCCATGGGAGACGCTGATGGCTTCAGCTTGGACCAGCTCTGGTTACTGCAGTCATCTAAAGTAATGAACCAGTGGATGCAAAATCTAATCCTGAGGTCAAACAGATGGGACACGAACCAGTGCCCATATGGGATCCTGGTGCTTGCAAGGGGAGAATTAGCCAATTTGAATCATCACGCCAAACCCAACATTCACAATTTCATACAAATATAATTGTGTCTTACTTCACTCTCACAAAAAAGAGTATTTTTACCATTTACCTTAGTAAAAGGATTCATTAGTAATTAGAGAGTCCTTGTTACCACTTAGGAAATTACGGGCAGAGAAACAGAAACAAGGCCACTAAATACAATTGGACCTATTAAGGTTTATTAGATCACCCAATTCTTCCCCAATTTGAGCCACTTAAATTAAAAAGCTGCCAAATACAAGTGGTGCAAAACAGCCAGAATGCTCATCAAAATGTTATACTATGCTTGCTTAGGGTAACACCTGCACATCCCACCAGCCAAGGATCCCACTCCTTTATTTCCCCTGACATCATCCAGTGGCTGACCCCAAAAACATACTCAGCTGTTCACAGCTGTTCAACACTGTGAGCACTTTTTTTTCTACTGCTTCTTGCCTTGATTTACCATGAATGACAACAAACAAACAAAACAACAAAAAACAAAAAAGCAGGGAGGGAGTTTCTGTCTCCCTCCCTGCCCCTGAATCTCTGATCTGGATGAGTCTATTCATTTTTCTGAGAGTCTACGATATAGGCCAGGTATTTTTTTAAATCTAGGAATACGGCAATAAGTAGTTTCTGTTCTTAAGGGGTGCTTTTTAGTATTACTCTTGTCTAGATTAGTTGCTCTCAGGATTGGCCTGATAAAAATTTAGCCTAAATCTACAGAATCAGTCTCTTTATAAACCTTTCTACCAGCACCAGACAATTGGCAGTCTTTAAATTGCTGCATTCCTTATCAGAGTACCTGGTTTGAATCCAGGCTCCAGCTCTGATCCAGTTTCCTGTTAATGTGTGCCCTGGGAAAACTGCAGATTGCTCAATTGCTTTGTTTCCTGCCATGCACAAGGGAGACCCATTGACCTGACTCAAATCTGGCTGCTTGGGCATTTGGGGAAAAGAACCACCAGATGAAAGATTGCTCTGTATCTCTCTTGACCTTAAAAAACAAACAAACAAAAAACTCAATAACAATTCTTTTTTTTTTTCCCCCAAGCAAACAAACAAAACCCCAAGCCTTTCCATTGCTATTGCAGGTATTCAGGGACTAAAACCATTTTTCCACGTCTATAGATAAGTAGTTCTCCTCCTTTAATAGCATACTCTTACTTGAAAAGGTTACAAAAAACACGAACTCCTGTTTCAGAAAACAGGATAAATACTAAAAAAGCTGCAAATATATTGAAAACGTAGGTCCCAGAGTGATGGCTCAATGGCTAAATCCTTATGAGCCAGGACACCACATGGGCACGTTTGTGTCCCAGGTACTCCACTTCCCATCCAGCTCCCTGTCTGTGGCCTGGGAAAATAACAGAAGACAGCCCAAAGCCCTGGGACCCTTCCACCTACGTGGGAGACCCGAAGAAGTTCCTGGCTCCTGCCTTTGAATCAGCTCATTTCTGGCCATTGTGGCCACTTGGGGAGTAAACCAGCAGACAGAAGATCTTTCTCTTTCCTTCTCTCTGTAAATCTGCCTTTTTTTTTTTTTAATTTTTTTTTATTTTTATTATTTTTTTATTGGAAAGGTGGATATACAGAGAGGAAAGACAGAGAGGAAGATCTTCCGTCCGATGATTCACTCCCCAAGTGAGCACAACGGGCCGATACTATGCCGATCCGAAGCCAGGAGCCTCTTCCGGGTCTCCCACATGGGTGCAGGGTCCCAAAGCTTTGGGCCGTCCTCGACTGCTTTCCCAGGCCACAGGCAGGGAGCTGGAAGGGAAGCAGGGCTGCCGGGATTAGAACTGGCGCCCATATGGGATCCCGGGCGTGCAAGGCGAGGACCTTAACCATTGTGCCATCGCGCCAGGCCTGTAAATCTGCCTTTTTAATAAAAACAAATAAATCTTTTAAAAAATGTATATGGCTTAGGCGCTTACTATCTATTATATATTTGTGGCTCTGTATGTATATATATATCAGCATATACACTAAAAATCTACATAGCAGTAGGAATTCCTTAAGACACCCTGGTTCACCAAGAATTGCTTATCTAGCAGAAGGGAAGATAGTATTACAATTGTGTGTGTGTGTGTGTTTGTACACATGTATTTAAAGATTTATTTGAAAGGCACAGTTAGAGACATTTTTCATCTGCTGGTTCACTCCCTCAACAGAAGCAAGAGCTGAGGGCTGGGCCAGGCCTAAACCAGAACCCAGGAACTCTTATCTAATGTCCCAGGTGAGTGGCAGGGGCTCAAGAACTTGGTCCAGTTCTACTGCCTGCCTGGGAGTATCAGCAGGGAGCAGGCTTAGGAGCGGAGCAGCTGGGACTCAAACTGACACTCACATGGGATACCAGTGACACAGGTGGTGGCTTAATGCTGGTCACCAGAGTCTGGCACATTTAATTAAGTGTTGAATAAGTAGCTATGTAATTCAATATTTAGAGGAGAAAAGAACAGAGCGCCAATTTAGAAATGTGTTTTCTAGTTAGTGTATTAGAGACCACTATTAAGGTGCTAGTCTTGAGGAACACTGTAGTTGACAGGGCTTGGGGAACAGTCCTTGAAATGTCTTACCAAAGTCACAGATGTTGGGTGAAATAATCAATTCACTGGTTTTCATTTGGGTACACTAGGGATTTAAAGTTTTAACATGCTGGCTAGTGAATCTAATCATCTAAACAAACTTGTTCCTAAGAAAGGGGATCAGAATTTATCCTGTGTCTAATTCCTGCCCATAACAAATTCTTCATTCCTTTACACTCTTAAGTAGCCACCTAAATGGCCTCCTGACTGCAAGCTGTGAAAGAACTCATCCTGTCTCATATTACCAAATATTATCCTATCATAGTTGCAGCCAATCCCTGACCTAGGACCAACCAGTCGGTCTTGGGTAAGTGACCACCATTCTTCAGTATTTTCATTTAAAATGTATGAATTCAGTGAAATACCTAACAGTTCCTAGCACATTCCTGATAATTTTGCAACAAATTTCAGCTGCTGCTGTCATGATCTTCCTAACATTATCTTATATTCTCTGATCAAAACCTTCTAATGATTCCTCTTAAAGATATTCAGTTTTACAGAACAAAGCACAAACTCCATAGAAAAGACATTCAAATCAGAACTCCATTGTGGCTTAGAGAACAAAGCCACCATCCACAGCACCAGCATCCCACAGAAGAACCAGTTTGAGTCCCAGTTGCTCTGCTTCCAATCCAGCTCCCAGCTAGTGTGCCTGGGAAAGCAGTGGAGGATACCTCAAGTATTAAGACCGGTGCATCCATGTGGGCGACCCAGAAGAAGCTCCTGGCTCCCAGTTTCACAACAGCCCAGCTCCAGCTGTTGTGACCATTTGGGGAATGAAACAGCAGATGGAAAATCTTTGACTCTCAAATAAACATAGAAATACATCTAAAACAGAACAAAACAAAAACATAAAAACCTAACTAACATAGAAAAATAAAGTTCTGCAAGTCAGCTATACAAAATCTTAACAACATTTTTGATATTCAGGTCTCAACTGACCACCCTGGAACAAAAATGAGGGATTGGTAAGGAGTGAATAGCAGATCTGCTTTTAAATACACCACAAAATCCCTGTTACCTAACTAGCATCTCTATGCTACAACACAGCAAAGAGACAGAAAAAAGATGCTGTGATAAACAACAGGTCTTCTCCTGAAAGACAACCCCAGCAATGTCAGGCAAGACAGTAAATGCTAAAGGGCAATCAAATCTCATTTGACTCAACAGTTACTTCCTGAATGCTTACTATGATCGCCACATCCCAATTCAGGACAGATAAGGAAGAACCAAGATGTCCAACTAATTTATCTGAACTTTATTCACCTGTAAAATGAAAGATAAAGTCTACCTCTGACATAGATTTATGAACATTTGGGGCAGTGCTCAGCTAAATTCTAAATCCCCACATCAATGGATCTGGTATTCTAGACTGTGATTTAGCTACTATGGGTTCGGATCCCATTGTTAACACTCTTACATGTTAGTCTTAAGTATCTCTGGATTTCTGTATAGCCAATAAGTAAGGAATTCCGTGATGATAAGAATTACTTTGTAATACAAACAATTGCCATGTCATTTCCCCTTAATGAAATCCACAGATTTCTACGAATGTATGTGTTTAATTTGTTGTACATGAAAGAAAATGGTGAATAAAAAATACACAGAAGTTGATGTTGGGGACATCAAATTGGGTTCAAATTTTTGTGCTATCACTTTCACAAGTACAGTTTTGCAAGAAATATTTAACTCTTCTCAGCCTCAATTTCCTCATCTGAAGAATGGTGCTCTGTTTTTGGAGTTACATGGAATATATGAAATGATATATAATATCCCTAACACTGACACACATTCTACACCTAAAACCTTTTTTAACCAATTTCTAAATACCAACAATTGTAATAAATATCATTTACAGTTCACATTATACAACTTCTTCCCAGTGTATCTGCTATCATTGCTTATATCTCACAGATAAGTCATAAGAGACCCAAAAGATTCATACACTAAGGATCACTAGGATATCTGACATGCATACTAAGGCCATAAAGTCTTAACACTTTTGAGTCTCTTCCTTTCAGAAATGAAACAGCCAAAACTGTGCCACATTCAGGAATTGTATTCTTTTCTGACTTAAAATCAAGCTTTGTTCAGAACATCTTTACCAACCTCCTTTACCAACAATTTTTTAAATTAATAATTCTTCTTTTTTTAAAGATTTGTTTATTTTTATTGGAAAGGCAGATTTACAGAAAGGAGAGACAGAGAGAACGGTCTTCCACCTGCTAGCTCACTCTCCAAATGCCTGCAAAAGCCAGAAATAAGCCAACCTGAAGCAAGGAGCCCCCTCTGGGACTTCCACACTGGTGCAGGGCTTTGGGCCGTCCTCCTCTGCTTTCTCAGGACACAAGCAGGGAGCTGGATGGGAAGCAGGGCTGCTGGGACATGAACTGGCATCCATATGAGATTTGGAGCTTAGAGCTGGAAGATTAGCCAATTGAACCATTGCACTGGCCTTTTTAACCAACAATCCTAAAGTATCAGAAAGATAGTGAAATCTGCCATGTCAAACTTACGAAAATCCTAGAAATAAAACTTGCCACAGGAAAAATCCCCACATATGGCAAACATCCCCGCTCTGCTCAGCTGCCTCTGGATTCCTTAGTGATGGAGTGCTGTGGAGGCATGGGTGAGGAACAGACTACTCTCTAAGGCACTTCGCGACAGTAGGGGGTGGGGAGAGGAGGAGGTACAACCAGCTTGCTGCTTATTCTGTTACCTCTGCCCAACAAAACTGCACTCAGTGCACCATTTCCAGAGCTCTACAGATTAAAACCAGATGTATGAAATGCTACAAAAAGGGAGTTGTGAAGCCAAAAAGAACAACACTCCACTCTCCCTCACTTAAAAAAAAAAAAAGCAACACATTTTTTACATTATGGCTTTGGGTCTGATTGCATTAATTTAAAAGTTACACAAACCACAAAATTCACCATTAACTATTAAAACACAACGTCTTTCACTTGGAAAGTCAACATTACAGAGAGGGGGAGAGGGAGCGAAGGAGAGAAAATGTTCCCTCTGCTGGCCCACTCATCAAATAGCCACAAAATTGGAGTATGGGAGCCATAAGCTTCTTCCAGGTCTTCCTCAGGAGTGCAGGGGCCCAAGGAACAGGCCACCTTCCACTGCTTTAACAGGCCACAAGCAGGGAGTCAAATCGGAAAGTGGAGCAGTAGGGACACGAACCAGAGCCCGTAGGAGTTGCCCACACTGGCAGGCAAAGAATTAGCCTTTTATGCCACCACACCAGTTCCTCCTGTTAGTATTTTGAAACACGAAATACTACTTTAAAACTATAACTAATCCCAGTAAGTTTGTTCAGATTTAATATGACCACTACAAATGTCCTTGTTTTTGTCAAAAAAGAAAACAGCTACCCATCTCTTGGCTTTAGTGCCACCTTTGTGGACACCTCCGCTCCAGGAGAGCCAAGCAAGCAAGAAGCGGCTGTGCAGGCTGAAGCAGAAGCCAAGAAAGATGCGGCAGCCGTGCAGGGAGACAGCACCGGAGGAGGGACAAGGGACCACAGGAGACGGTGGCCGCAATGCTGCCTGCCTGTCCCAGAGGCTCTGCACTGTCACCACAGGTGAACCCAGAGCCCGGAGATGGCCTGGGCGCCCCTGATATCCAGACTGTGTCCCCACTGTGTCCCAGCATGTCCAGTAAACCCTCCCAGCTGGTGTTTCAGCCAGAGAATTGGATAACATAAACTTCAGGCAATAATAAAAGATGGAAAAACTGCATAATTTTCATTATTACACATTACAATCCAATCTTCAGAATTCAAATTTAGCTTTAAGATTTACATCATTGCTTCTCAATCTGGTGAACGTTGCACCTGACCCCTACATTTTGCAATATCTGGGGAACAACTTTGCTTGTCACAAATGGCAGGGACTTCTACTGGGGGGTTTGAAACACCCTACAGTGCCATGCCACTCACAACAAAGTATGAGCTTGTCCACAATGTCAACAGTGCCAAGATTAAGAAACCTTGGTCCAATGTAGTTGGATTATTCTACCACTTTGCAGGTCTCTTATGTTTCTTCCCTTTGAACACTAGAGACATCAAAAAAGATGCTCTCATTGCATGATTCTACTCAAAAACTCTCCTGCTCATATGATGGCTACTCATTATCAATTCATTAAAACTTAACTTCGCAGCCGGGATATTAAAACCCCTGGAACCTGATTTTACACGGCTACTCGGACAATGGTTCCTTTTCCTGCCAGACTCCCATTCTGGCCAAGACTCTACTATTATAACATTCTCTTCTTCCTATCATTCTCAACTTTGGGGCTTTTTGGTCATATCATTTAATACATGAATATTCTACCAGTTCAAACTCTTGCTATCTTCTAAGGCTTTCAGTTCTACTCTTTCAGGAGGACTTTCTCATTTTTCTGGCCTATTAGGATCTGTTTCCTAAATTCCTTTATTATTATCTATGCAAACAAATACTCACTGATGTGCAACATTACCCAATTTTTCCTGTTATATATCCTTATCATTTCAAGACTAGTGTTCCCTCAAAAGGCTATGGTTCATGAGTCCCTTTTTCTTCTTACAACCCAAATTTGTTTACACAGAACACTTAAAAAACTTTCTAGCACCATTCCCAAATCTACAGGGCAAATCTAATGGGGGAAGACAAATTTGACTTTTTTAAGCCTTAAAATATGTAAGTGTATTGTTGCTAAGAGTATGTAAGAAAAAAAAAAAAGAAACCTGGTGGGTTCTAAATGAGTAGGCCATCTGTTCTCATACTTTTATACAATTGAAATGATTATTAAACAGTGGCATAGCCTATTAATGCAACTAGTTGTCACCTCACAAGGTTTGAAAGACCGAAAAGTGAAAAGGATTCATTACAACAAAATTACAAGAATATGAACTAGAAATTAATCAACCTAATCAATCAATTAGGCATATAAAAAATTCTCAAAGATGACTCTACATTGGGAAGAGAAATCAGGGGGAAAAGAAATACCTTTGGGCAAAACGAACACGACTTGCAAACAGGTAAATTCCTCACCAGAGAATCTTGTACTAATGCCAACAGTAATTGCTACTATGTGTAAAGAGCAGAAAGAAAAACTAAACTTGGAGGAATGGGAATTTTGTGAAGAAAAATTACACCAAGTTTAGGGAAGCGGGATAGAGTCAAACACGGACTCTTTGGAAAACTCACAGGCCTGTGAAAGGACACCGTGGAGGAGTTTCTAATGTGGATCTTCTTTGTAACTTGGAAGTTGATGGCGCCGTGACAGCAGCTGAGACAAGTCAATTCCTCACTCGGTGACCAATGGGTGAGATGAAGTCTCCCAGGGCAGGACCCACCGGCCAGGGACAAAAGACCCAGCTCCTTCAGAGGACCGGGGCAGGGGAAGCGCCCTGGCAGCGCATCTCAGTCCGCAGGGCCAGCGGGGCAGGGTGTGCCAAGGCATCCCTCGGGCTGGGCAGCCCCGCCATGGACAGCCCAAGGCGCCTCTCTCTCCTTTCCCGGACGCCTTCAACTTGAACAATAAAATGTTCCTGAGCCCCACCGCAGGGAACGGGAAACCCTACCTCCCTTTTGAATAAGTGGCTTGGAGTTTCTCCGCTTGGATCATCATCCAACAGACAATTCCCTGAGCAAGGAAGGCAGCCGGGGCAGAGCGGGAGAGGGGAAGAGGGGCAGGGCTCTCAAGTCCGTTCCCACCACAGCCAGGAACATCAAAACCACTGATCCCACCGCTCCCTCCTTCCTCACACAGGAAACAACACAACGCAAACCGCTGCAAACTTGCCCGGCCATGACGAAGGTGTCCCAAGCCCGGATCCCACGGGCTTCCCAGCCGTCCCCTCACACAGGGCGGCATGCGGGGCGCCTCCCCTCAGCCCCGGCCAGGCCCCTGGGCTATCCCGAGGGCCGGCTGCTCGTGGGTCCCGACGGGAAAGGGGCTAACACCGTCGCAACCCGCTCACGCTGTGGAGTCCCGGGGAACACGGCCTGGGAAGCGACCAGAGCCAGGCAGGACCCGCAGGAGGGAGGCGGGAGAGGCTGCCGGGCCTAGGCCGCAGCAGGCCGCGGGGTGGCCTGACGCGGCTTCCCGACCGAGGCGGGACGCCAAGCCTCACAGAAAGGAGTTACCATTACCTGGACAGGTTCCTGCAGCACCGTCATCCTTGAGGCTCAGACCCACTTTCTGCAATGCCTCAGGCCCCCCCCGGCCAGCGGCTCCAGCCCGGCCAGCCCCGGCTCATTTAAACTATCCAGCGACCGTTACCGGGGATGGGGGAGGCCGAGCAACTGCCGAGCGCCGCCGAGAGGGAAGCGGAAATACCCGAAGTCCACAGAACGCAGCGAATGCGAGACGGAAAAACACGAAGCTGACCGGAAATATCCGAGAGGGGTCGGAGGAGGAGGAGACCGTTGGACGGAAATTGTCGAAGCCTTCCGGAAACTACCGAGTCGGCCCGGGCGCGCGTACGTATCTCTTCCCAGTCACGCCTTCACCCACGCACGCCACGCCCAATCGGCCACGATAAACTGCACCACGCCCAATCGGCGACCGGCAGCCTGGGAGTGGCGTCACGGAGCGGGCGGGGAGCGTTACGTGGCGGGGCTGCAGCCTCGATTCACCAAGCTGCTTTTTCGGAACTTGTGGGTTCACGACGGACTGTGCTCAAGGGTAAAAGTGCACGACACCATGGTTTTGGTCTGACGTAAGTTAGTGAAGTATTTCCCTGTTGAGTTTAGGACATTCATTTATCCCGGAAGTACCCCCCCTCACAGCTCCAGGGAAAATTAGGGATGATTGCCACGGACCGAAGTTGAGATCTATTTACAGGAAAAGAAGTGTGTTCAAGGGATTCCACAGTATTTGGTGCCCTTGACAAATATAAAATTTCAGAGGACAGGGAACTGACTTGGGATTAATATAAAAAAAGGATGATAAGATACTAATTGGCCTTTGAAAGCTGGATAGAATTAGAAGAGAACGTAGTGAGGAGTGCTGGTTTTGGGGCCTGGCTGCCTCAGCTCCCATCCAACCCCCTGTAACATGCTCTGGGAAAGCAGCAGATGACCCAACTGCTTAACTTAAAAACAGGCTGCAGAGCTATGCTGATACATTCAGAGTGCAGACACTGCTTGGGATGCAGCCATCGCATTTTGGAGTGTCTGGGTTTGAGTCCTGGCTCCTTTATGTTTCCAGTTTCCTGGTAATGTGCACTCTGAGAGGCAGCACGTGATGGCTGAAGTGGTTGAGTCTGTTCCAGTCTCAAGACAGAGATCTGGGTTGAGTTCCCAGCACTGAATTTCAGCCTTGACCAGCCCTGGCTGTTGCAGGCTCTGGGTAGCTCCTTCACATTCTTTTGTTATTTCTCTGCCCCTCAAGTACAATTGAAGAATTTTAAAAGATTTATTTATTTTGATTAGAAAGGCTGATTTACAGAGAGAAGGAGAGGGATACAGAGATCTTTCATCCATTGGTTTATTCCCCAAATGTTCTCAACAGCCTGAGCTGAGCTAATTAGGAGCCAGCAGCTTCTTCTGGATCTCCCACATGGGTGCTGGGTCCCCAGGCTTATGCGCCATCCTCCACTGCTTTCCCAGACTATAGCAGGGAGCTGAATCAGAAATGGGGCAGCTGGGACATGAACTGGCATCCATATGGGATGCTGGCACTTGAAGATGGAGGATTAGCCAGTTGAGCCATCACACAACCCCTGGTTAAAGAATTTTTTAGGAAAAACGTGGTATGAGTTTTTGTTATTGTCTAGCACTTGTATTTCTATTTCCAGTTGTTAGCAGCCATATCACACTGCTGATATTTTGTTTTTGGTCATTTCACAAACTGCCCTTTTTCACATGGCAGGCTTCCAAGACAAGCCTTCTACCTGGGCAATGGATTTTGTAAACCTAACTGTGGGCTCTTACCACAGAGGTACAAAAGGTGATACTTCAGGTACAAGAATGTGTTCTGTAGGATAAGCATTTAAGCAGTCTGCTTGGCTATCTGGATCATAAGCTTAGAATTTGCCAAGAGCATTGTTAACCCTTAAGAAGAATGTTTCTTTCTGACTTTTGTCCACCAGGCATGTCTCTGTGTTACCATTTGCCTCTCATCCACAGTAAAACCAGGTTGTTCGAGGGACCTACCTGACGTCTTCATTCACCATCTCTCTCATCCTGCCTCCATCTGCTATCCAGTCTGGTGAGCTGGTGAGTGCAGTTGGTTTATAATACCGTATTTTAAAAATAGGAAACTGTTTCTTGTACTTGGCTGTCTTCTTTGAATATGTAACGTCTGTGTAACATTCAGTTGGAGTTGAAGCTGGTATTTGAGGAATTACTAAGCGAGTGAACCATGGGAGCATCAGGAATGCAGGGCTCAGAGTAAGTGTGCTCTTGTGTGTTCCTCCAGCCCTTCTTGGCCACAACTTTCATTTTGTCCCTGTTGCATGAGGCTTCAGTTCTGTTTGTCTGACCTGCCCTTGGGGTGTTCTCTCCCCTGTGTTTCATCCTTCCTCTTGGTCACATCAACCCTGTGATTTGACACACAGTGTCCTGATTTTCCTCCTCCTAGTTTCTTCTTCATCAGCTTGTTAGGAAGCCTCTTGCCCCTCTAATGTAGGGCTGGTTCAGGGATGCAGTCTAATCTCTCCATCTTGCCTCAGCGGGTTCTTCAAGGCCTGGTTCCCGTCTCCTCATCACTCAACCTCATCACTCTCCTCTCCCCTCCATGCTCTGTGCTGCAGGTGTGTGCAGCTCCTTGCTTCTCCCTCTTGCCTCACAAGTGTTGCATGTAGGTCTCTCTGCCTGCAGCACTCTCAGTCCCACCCTTCTCCTGCCAATCCCTGTTTAGCTTCCTAAGAGTCTTGCAGGCCTTCTCCGGTCCACTGAAGTAGGTTGGCTTGCACTGCTGTTAGTCGAGTGCTACCAGACATGTCGTTATTCCCATCACCCTTTACTGTAATGCTTGTTTGAGTGTCCACTTCCTGTCTAGCATGAAGCTCCATGAGGGCAGAGGCCCTGTGTGTTTGCCTGGGTACTTGGATATAAAGTACCTGGTATATATCAGATACTTCGTCTGGTTTAATGAATAAATAGAATGTTCTGACACCTCCTTATGTGCAAGGAGTATGTGCTGAGATTCCCAGGGGACACCTGAAGCAGTGAGTAGGGCTAATATATGATTGATATCTATACATAGATATATATATCATGGTTTTTTTCTCTATGCATTCATACAGAAAGAAATCCCTTCTCATCCAAGTAAGCTATGACTGAAGCATTTGTAGTTTGACGTGTAGTAGCAAAACTAACATAAATTTTTTTCACTTCACTGTTTTCTTTAAGTTATTTATTTGAAAGGCAGAGTGACAGGGAGAGACAGAGACAGAGAGGTCCTCTAGCCGCTGGTTCACTCCTCCAGTGGCCACAAAAGCCCATTCTGGGCTGGAACTCCATCCTGGTCTCCCGCATGGAAGGCAGGGGCCTACACACTTGAGCTATAGTCTACTGCTTTCCTGGTCAGAAGCAGAGGAATTGGGACTCAAAGCAGCACTCTGATATGGGATGTGGTATTGCAATAGTAGCTTAACCCACTTTGTCACAATGTCAACTCTATGATTTTCGTTTTTCTCCTTAACAATTTTATGGGTAAGATTATTTTTAAACAATTTTTTAAAAAATTTTTATTTGAAAGACAGATAAAAAGAGAGAGAAGGAGAGTCAGAGAGACAGAGAGGTCTTGCATTTGCTGGTTCAATTCCCAAATGACATCAAAAACCAGAGCTGAACTGATCTGAAGCTGGGAGCCAGGAGCTTTTCCTCAGTCTCCCAAATCTGTGCAGGCGCCCAAGGACGTGAATCATCTTCTGCTGCTTTCCTAGGCCATAAACAGAGAGCTAGATCAGAAGTGGAGCTACTGGGACTAGAACCCGCACCCATGTGAGGTACTGGTCCACCAGACAGAGGATTAGCTTACTATAACACCATGCTGGCCTCAAAAGATTCATTCTTACTGTAGATCTTAGCAATCCTCAGAATTTTTTTTTTTCCTTTTTAGTCAAGAACTTTCACCTTTTCACTTAAAGGAAGCCCTTTGCAGCTTCTCTTTGGCATACCAAATTGGTGACATCAATATTGTTGCAACTTGAGTCCATTATTAAGGAAATTAAGGTTCCTTGACTTACAGTGCTGTAACACTGTAACAACCTGATAACTTTGCTAACCATTGAGTGACTCCTACACTGATAGCATTGAACGGCATGGATGGTGTGGGGAAGACGTCATCTCACTACTCAGAGTGATGTGCTGCAGGAATTTTGCAGTTAAAGAAAAAAAAAAGATGTGTCTATATATTTATTTGAGAAACAGAGTAGCTCAGAGAGAAAGAGAGACAAAGAGAGGGGAACAGTTGCAGTGGCTAAAGTCCTCACCTCACTGGGATCCCATATGATACCTGTTAGTGTCCCAGCTCCTCCACTTCTGATCCAGCATCCTGCTTGTGTCCTGGGAAAGCAGTAGATGGTGGCCCAAAGCCTTGGGACACTGCACCCATGTTGGAGACCCTGAAGAAGCTTCTGGCTCCTGGCTTTGGACTGGCTCAACTCTAGCAGTTGCAGCAGTTTGGGGAATGAACCAGCAGATGGAAAATCTTTCCCTCTTTCTCCCCTTCTCTCTGCAAATCTACCTTTCCAATAAAAATAAACAAATCCTTAAAAAAAAAAAAAAGGTGGTGATGAAGAGAGTTCTCATCTGCTGGCTTACTCCTGTAGTGGTCAGAGCTGGGCCAGGCCAAAGCCAGGAGTCTGAACTCCATCAGAGCCATCTTCCTTCCATTGCCTCCCAGGTGCATTAGCAGGGAGCTGGATCAGAAATGGAGCAGCCAAGGCTTGAACCAGTGCCCATTTGGGTGTCACAGGGGGCAGCATATCCTCGCCCCTGGGATTTTTCAGTTGCTGCGTTCAGGCTACACTCAGCCATACTAAACTGAAATCCTAGAAAGTGAAACTGTAAGGGAGAGCTACCGGGAACTCAGTCTTAGGTTTTGTTTGTTGATGTTGTAGAGTGGATGTTTGTGTCCTGCTGAAATTCACAGCTCTGCTTGTCTCCCAGGTGTACTGGTACAAGCCTTAATAGCCTACTGCAGACCTGCGGTCTCTAAGGTAGTAAGAAAGGTTAAAGGAGGTTATGAAGGTGGGGGCCCTGATTCCTTTGAGAGGCTTCTGAAAGCTCGTTCTCTCCCACAGTCCATCCCTCCCTCTCCCCTCGGACATGAGGGCAAGGTCAAGTGAGAACACA